CTAAAATTGATTAAATAAATAAAAATGTCCTCATCAATCTACACACTAACCCATAATGACAAAGCGAAAACAGGTTTTTGACATTTTTGCAAATTTATTAAAAATAAACAGAAATACCTTATTTACATACACTACAGTCAAAAGTTTGGACACACCTACTCATTAAAGGGTTTGTCTTTATTTTGACTATGTTTTACGTTGTAGAAGTAAAGTGAAGACATCAAAACTATGAAATAACACATGGAATCATGTAGTAACCAAAAAAGTGTTAGTGGGACTGTCATTGTTTTTCAACAGGACAATGACCCAACACACCTCCAGGTTGTGTAAGAGCTATTTTACCAAGAAGGAGAGTGATGGAGTGCTGCATCAGATGACCTGGCCTCCACAATCCCCCGACCTCAACCCAATTGAGATGGTTTGGGATGAGTCGGACGACAGAGTGAAGGAAAAGCAGCAAACAAGTGCTAAGCATATGTGGGAACTCCTTCAAGACTGTTGGAAAAGCATTCTAGGTGAAGCTGGTAGAGAGAATGCCAAGAGTGTGCAAAGCTGTCATCAAGGCAAAGGGTAGCTACTTTGAAGAATCTCAAATATAAAATATATTTAGGTTTGTTTAACACTTGTTTGGTTGCTACATGATTCCATATGTGTTATTTCGTAGTTTTTGTGTCTTCACTATTATTCTACAATGTAGAAAATAGTACAAATAAAGAAAAACCCTTGAATTAGGAGATGTATCCAAACTTTTGACTGGTAATGTTCGTTTTCAGACCCTTTGCTATGAGACTTGAAATTGAGCTAAGGTGCATCCGGTTTCCATTGATCATCCTTGATGTTTCTACAACTTGATTTGGAGTCCACCTGTGGTAAATTCAATTGATTGGATGTGATTTGGAAAGAAACACACAACGTCCCACAGTTGACAGTGCTTGTCAGAGCAAAAACCAAGCCATGAGGTCGAAGGAATTGTCTGTAGACCTCCGAGACAGGATTCTGTCGAGACACAGATCTGGGGAAGGGTAACAACATTTCTGCAGCATTGAAGGTCCCCAACAACACAGTGGCCTCCATCATTCTTAAATGGAAGATGTTTGGAACCACCAAGACTCTGCCTAGAGCTGGGCGCCTGGCCAAACTGATCAATTGGGAAGAAGGTCCTTGGTAAGGGAGGTGACCAAGAACCCGATTGTCACTCTGACAGAGCTCCAGAGTTCCTCTGTGGAGATGGGAGAACCTTCCAGAAAGACAACCATCTCTGCAGCACTCCACCAATCAGGCCTTTATGGTAGAGTGGCCAGACGGAAGCCACTCCTCAGTAAAAAGCACAACAGCCCGCTTGGAGTTTGCCAAAAGGCACCTAAAGGACTCTCAGACAATGAGAAACAAGATTCTCTGGTCTGATGAAACCAAGATTGAACTCTTTGGCCTGAATGCCAAGCGTCACATCTGGAGGAAACCTGGCACCATCCCTACGGTGAAGCATGGTGTTGGCAGCATCATGATGTGGGGATGTTTTTCAGTGGCAGGGAGACTTGTCAGGATCGACGGAAAGATGAACTGAGCAAAGTACAGAGAGATCCTTGATGAAAACCTCCTCCAGAGTGCTCAGGACCTCAGACTGGGGTGAATGTTCACCTTCCAACAGGACAACGACCCTAAGCTCACAGCTAAGACAATGCAGGAGTGGCTTCGGGACAAGTCTCTGAATGTCCTTGAGTGGCCCAGCCAGATCCCAGACTTGAACCCGATCGAACATCTCTGGAAAGACCTAAAAAAAAAGCTGTGCAGCGATGCTCCCCATCCAACCTGAGCGTTTTGAGAGGATCTGCAGAGAAAAATGGGAGAAACTCTCAAATACAGGTGTGGAATGCTAGTAGCGTCATACCCAAGAAGACTCGAGGATGTAATCGCTGCCAAAGGTGCTTCAACAAAGTACTGAGGAAAGGGTCTGAATACTTATGTAAATGTGATATTTCCGCTTTTTTTATATATACATTTTCAAAAATGTCTAAACCTGTTTTTGCTTTGACATTATGTGGTATTGTGTGTAGATTGATGAGGGAAAACTCAATATAATCCATTTTAGAATAAGGCTGTAACGTAACAAAATGTGGAAAATGTGAAGGGGTCTGAATACTTTCTGAATGCATTGTATATACATAAGTATGGACACCCCTTCAAATGAGCAGATTCGGCGATTTCAGCCACACCCGTTGCTGACAGGTGTTTAAAATCGAGCACACATCCAGGCAATCTCCATAGACAAATATGGACAGAAAAGGGTCTTACTGAAGAGCTTAGTGACTTTCAACGTGGCACCATCATAGGATGCCACCTTTCCATCAAGTCAGTTCGTCAAATTTCTGCCCTGCTAGAGCTGCCCCGGTCAACTGTAAGTGCTGTTATTGTGAAGTGGAAACATCTAGGAGTAACAATGGCTCAGCCGCAAAGTGGTAGGCCGCACAAGCTCACAGAACGGGACCGCCGTGTGCTGAAGTGCGTAGCGCGTAAAATTGGTCTAGTCAGTTGCAACACTCACTACCGAGTTCCAAACTGCCTCTGGAAGCAACGTCAGCACAATAACTGTTCGTCGGGAGCTTCATGAAATGGGTTTCCATGGCCGAGCAGCCGCACACAAGCCTAAGATCACAATGCACAATGCCAAGCGTCTGCTGGAGACGCCACCATTGGAACGCGTTTTCTGGTGTGATGAATCACGCTTTATCATCTGGCAGTCCGACTGACGAATCTGGGTTTGGCGGATGCCAGGAGAATGCTACCTGCCCCAATGCATAGTGCCAACTGTAAAGTTTGGTAGAGGAGGAATAATTGTCTGGGGCTGTTTTTCATAGTTTGGGCTAGGCCCCTTAGTCCAGTGAAGGGAAATCTTAACGCTACAGCATACAATGACATTCTAGACAATTCTGTGCTTCCAACTTTGTGGCAACAATTTGGGGAAGGCCCCTGTGCACAAAGCAAGGTCCATACAGAAATGGTTTGTCGAGATCGGTGTGGAAGAATTTGACTGGCCTGCACAGCGCCCTGACCTCAACCCCATCGACCACCTTTGGGATAAATTGGAATGCCGACTGCGAGCCAGGCCTAATCACCCAACATCAGTGCCCGACTTCACTCATGCTCTTGCGGCTGAATGGAAGCAAGTCCCTGCAGCAATGTTCCAAGATCTAGTGGAAAGCCTTCCCAGAAGAGTGGAGGCTGTTATAGCAGAAAAGAGGGACCACCTCCATATTAATGCCCGTGATTTTAGAATGAGATTTTCAACGAGCAGGTGTCCACATACTTCTGGTCATGTAGGGAGAGGGGTAAAGTAACTAGGCAACAGGATAGATAGACAGTAGCAGAAGCGTATGTGATAAGTGTGTGTGTGGCGAATGTGTGCCGTGTTCGGCCCTCCGTTTTCTGTAATCCACGATAAGCTCCTTTGTCTTTATTTTAAGAATGTGAAATGTCAGAATAATAGTAGAGTGATTTATTTCAGCTTTTATTTCTTTCATCACATTTCCAGTAGGTCAGAAGTTACACTCAATTAGTATTTGGTAGCATTGCCTTTAAATTGTTTAACTTGTGTCAAACGTTCCACAAGCTTCCCACAATAAGTTGGGTGAATTTTGGCCCATTCCTCCTGACAGAGCTGGTATAACTGAGTCAGGTTTGTTGGCTTCCTTGCTCGCATACGCTTTTTCAGTTCTGCCCACAAATGTTCTATAGGATTGAGGTCAGGGTTTTGTGATGGCCACTCCAATACCTTGACTTTGTTGTCCTTAAGCCGTTTTGCTAAAACTTTGGAAGTATTCTTGGGGTCATTGTCCATTTGGAAGACCCATTTGCGACCAAGCTTTAACTTCCTGACTGATGTCTTGAGATGTTGCTTCAATATATCCACCTAATTTTCCTTCCTCATGATGCCATATATTTTGTGAATTGCACTAGTCCCTCCTGCAGCAAAGCACCCCCACAGCATGATGCCTCCACCCCCTGTGCTTCAAGGTTGGGATGGTGTTCTTCGGCTTGCGAGCACCACCTCCCTTTCCTCCAAACATAACTATGGTCATTATGGCCAAACAGTTCTATTTTTGTTTCATCAGACCAGAGGACATTTCTCCAAAAAATACGATCTTTGTCCCCATGTGCAGATGCAAACCGTAGTCTGGCTTTTTTATGGCGGTTTTGGAGCAGTGGCTTCTTCCTTGCTGAGCGGCCTTTCAGGTTATGTCTATAGGACTCGTTTTACTGTGGTCATAAATACTTTTGTACCTGTTTCCTCCAGCATCTTTACAAGGTCCTTTGCTGTTGTTCTGGGATTGATTTGCACTTTTCGCACCAAAGTACGTTCATCTCTAGGAGACAGAACTTTCCTAAGCGGTATGACGGCTGCGTGGTCCCATGGCGTGGTCCCATGGTGTTTATATTTGCGTACTATTGTTTGTACAGATGAACGTGGTACATTCAGGCATTTGGAAATTGCTCCCAAGTCTTGTGGAGGTCTACACTTTTTTTTTTTTCTGAGGTCTTGGCTGATTTCTTTTGATTTTCCCATGATGTCAAGCAAAGAGGCACTGAGTTTGAAGGTAGGCCTTGAAATACATCCACAGGTACACCTCCAGTTGACTCAAATGATGTCAATTAGCCTATCAGAAGCTTCTAAAGACATGACATAATTTTCTGAAATTTTCCAAGCTGTTTAAAGGCACTGTCAACTTAGTGTATGCACACTTCTGACCCACTGGAATTGTGATTAAGTGAAATAATCTGTCTGTAAACAATTGTTGTAAAAATGACTTGTCATGCACAAAGTAGATGTCCTAACCGACTTGCCAAGGCTATAGTTTGTTAACAAGACATTTTTGGAGTGGTTGAAAAACAAGTTTTAATGACTCCAACCTAAGTGTATGTAAACTTCCGACTTCAACTGTATGATAATGACGTGCATAAACTTGGTATCATTGGAAAGAAAACACCTGGGAGATTATAAGGAAATGGTCAGAACGTGGATAGGAAATGGCACAGTTCAGATCAAGCACACACAGAGTAGCCATTATTTTTTAAAAATTAAAACAATGTTTTAAAAGTATTATTTCGTGGACAAGCTATAGGTCAATTATTGCTGAAAAGAGCTGGAAACACATCAGAAGGCTTCCACAACATGTCAAAAACTTTTTGGGGAAAAATGGGATTGATAGACACAACAGCTAGAACATTACAAATGTTTTAGTAAGGGATGTCAGGTGGGGTCAAGGGACATATCCAAAGTGTCCTAAGTATGTAAATTAGTGTTTTCACGATACCAACTTTTTACAAATGATGCGATAGCAGGCCAAGTTCCACGATACCAAGTAGTATCGCCATACCATGCTGGGGGAAAAAAAATCAGTGGCCTAATATCCTGTTCGCCCCGTCACCCGCACACTTGTTCCTGTTTTCTAAACGTTCTCTAAAATGCTGTCACTGAAATTCACACTTCTACTCAATACAACACATTGAATTTAACTTCACACTGTTCAGTGTATAATTGAATGCTGCATAGAATGGCTGATTTGCTAATATTTGCAAAGGCCTACCTGTGATTTGGCTGGAGGAATGGGAGGAAGGAATATACATGCATAATGAACTGCATGTCATTGTCAGTAAGGGGAAAACACTGCATGAAACCTTCTTTACTCTTCACACTCTTTCTCCCTCACTCTCATAAACATACACACACCACTCTCTCTCTCCCACAAACACACACTGCTCCCAACTTTTAAAACATTAGGCACCAAACAGAATTTATAAAAATAAACTAAAAGATCACATTTACTTAAGTATTCAGACCCTTTACTCAGTACTTTGTTGAAGCACTTTTGGCAGCGATTACAGCCTCTATATTGGGAGGTTTTCCCATTATTCTCTACATATCCTCTCAAGCTCTGTCCGGTTGAATGGGGAGCGTCGCTGCACAGCTATTTTCAGGTCTCTCCAGAGATGTTCGATTCCGGGCTCTGGCAAGGACATTCAGAGACTTGTACCAGAGCCACTCCTGCGTTGTCTTGGCTGTGTGCTTAGGGTCGTTGTCCTGTTGGAAGATTAACCTTCACCCCAGTCTGAGGTCCTGAGTGCTCTGGAGCAGGTGTTCATCAAGGATCTCTCTGTACGTTGCTCCTTTCATCTTTCCCTCTCCTGACTAGTCTCCCAGTCCCTGCCGCTGAAAAACATCTGCACAGCATAATGCTGCCACCACCATGCTTCACCGTAGGGATGGTCACAGGTTTTCTCTAGACGTGACGCTTGGCATTCAGTCCAAAGATTTCAATCTCGGTTTCATCAGACCAGAGGATCTTGTTTCTCATGGTCTGAGAGTCTCTTAGGTGACTTTTGGCAAACTCCAAGCGGGCTGTCATGTGCCTTTTTACTGAGGAGTGGCTTCCGTCTCGCCACTCTACCATAAAGGCCTGATTTGGTGGAGTGCTGCAGAGATGGTTGTCTTTCTGGAAGGTTCTCCCATCTCCACAGAGGAACTCTGGAGCTCTGTCAGAGTGATCATCGGGTTCTTGGTCACCTCCCTGACCAAGGCTCTTCTTGCCTGATTGATCAGTTTGGCCGGGCGGCCAGCTCTCGGAAGAGTATTGGTGGTTCCAAACTTCTTCGATTTAAGAATGGTGGAGGCCACTGTGTTTTTGGGGACCTTCAATGCTGCAGACATTTTTTGGTATCCTTCCCCAGATCTGTGCCTCAACACAATCCTATCTCGGAGCTCTACAGACAATTCCTTCGACCAAATGGCTTCGTTTTTGCTCTGACATGCACTGTCAACTGTGGGACCTTAAATAGACAGGTGTACCTTTCCAAATCATGTCCAATCAATTGGTGGACTCCAATCAGGTTGTAGAAACATCTCAAGGATGATCAATGGAAACCGGATGCACCTGAGCTCAATTTCGAGTCTCATAGCAAAGGGTCTGAATACTTACAGTACCAGTCAAAAGTTCGGACGCACCTACTCATTCAAGGGTTTGTCTTTATTTGTACTATTTTCTACATTGTAGAATAATAGTGAAGACATCAAAACTATGAAATAACACATGGAATCATGTGGTAACCAAAAAATGTATTTTATATTTGAGATTCTTCAAATAGCCACAGCTTTGCACACTCTTGGCATTCTCTCAACCAGCTTCACCTTGAATGCTTTTCCAACAGTCTTGAAGGAGTTCCCATATGCTGAGCACTTGTTGGCTGCTTTTCCTTCACTCTGCGGTCCGACTCATCCCAAACCATCTCAATTTGGTTGAGGTCGATGGATTGTGGAGGCCAGGTCATCTGATGAAGCACTCAATCACTCTCCTTCTTGGTAAAATAGCCCTTACACAGCCTGGAGGTGTGTTGGGTCATTGTCCTGTTGAAAATCAAATGAGAGTCTCATTAAGCCCAAACCAGATGGGATGGCGTATCGCTGCAGAATGCTGTGGTAGCCATGCTGGTTAAGTGTGCATTGAATTCGAAATAAATCACTGACAGTGTCACCAGCAACGCACCCCAACACCATAACACCACATGCTTTACGGTGGGAACTACACATGCGGAGATCATCCGTTCACCCACACTGCGTCTCACAAAGACACGGCGGTTGGAACCAAGAATCTCCAAATTTGGACTCCAGCCCAAAGGACAAATTTCCACAAGTAAATGTCAATTGCTCGTGTTTCTTGGCCCAAGCAAGTCTCTTCTTATTATTGGTATTCTTTAGTAGTGGTTTGTTTTTAGTAATTCGACCATGAAGACCTGATTCACAGTCCCCTCTGAACAGTTGATGTGTCTGTTACTTGAACTCTGTGAAGCATTTATTTGGGCTGCAATTTCTGAGGCTGGTAACTCTAATGAACTTATCCTCTGCAGCAGAGTTAACTCTGGGTCTTCCATTTCTGTGGCGTTCCTCATGAGCCAGTTTCATCATAGTGCTTGATGGTTTTTGCGACTGCACTTGAAGAAACTTTCAAAGTTCTTGAAATGTTCCATATTGACTGACCTTCATTTCTTAAAATAATGTACTGTTTCTCTTTGCTTATTTTATCTGTTTTGACATAATATGGACTTGGTATTTTACCAAATTGGGCTATCTTCTGTATGCCACCCCTACCTTGTCACAACACAACTGATTGGCTCAAACACAATAAGAAGGAAAAAAAAATTCCACAAATTAACTTTTAACAAGGCAGACCTGCCAGTTGAAATGCATTCCAGGTGAGCACCTCATGAAGCTGGTTGAGAGAATGCCAAGAGTGTGCAATGCTGTCATCACGGCAAAGGGTGGCTATTTGAAGAATCTCAAATATATAAAATATATTTTTATTTGTTTAACACTTTTGGTTACAACATGATTCCATGTGTTATTTTATAGTTTTGATGTCTTCACTATTATTCTACAATGTAAAGAATAGTAAGAAAATAAAGAAACCCTTGAATGAGGTAGGTGCGTCCAAAGTTTTGACTTGTGGTGTGTGTATATATGTATATATATATATATATATATATATATATATATATATATATATATATATATATATATATATATATATATATATATATATATATATATATATATATATGCAAACATTTCTAAAAACCTGTTTTCGCTTTGTCATTATGGGGCATTGTGTGTAGATTGATGAGAGAAATAAATAATTTAATCCATTTTAGAATAAGGCTGTAACAAAATGTGGAAAAAGGGAAGGGGTCTGAATACTTTCCAAATGCGCTGTATATGGATGATTTATAAAGCCAGGCACATTTAACAGTTAGGCTATTGATTTATAGACATAATTAAATTGGGGTTTCCGCTCTCCTCAATTTTCTTACACAGTTAGGCTAAGGCAAGGGCTGTTTCCTTGTCTCTGCTGCTGCTGCCTCCACCGCATTGTTCTCAATCCCAATATGCTGGTTAACTTTGCTATTATGCACATGGCAGCTTAGGGAAAGGCACCAATTCTACGGCACACAAGATTGTTTCGGAACCGCTGACAGCGACCGTATTCAACGCGGGAGAAAGTGCATTTGTTATAAAATATTAGATTTATTAGTGTTCCATTATTTTCACATAATATAACCATATACAATTTCAGTATCACATCTTGGAGTGATGGACTGTGCCATCCCCGTGGCCTCCGCAATGGATTAGTCCATTGAGACAGGTGCGAATCAGACAGGTGTCTAGTGCACCATGAAAAATAAAATAGGAATTGCGCCTGCTCGACTAAAGAAATCTCGGTCGACCAAACAATCGACCAGTCGACTAAATTGGGTCAGCCCTAATTCTCACACAGGTGTTCCTTTTGTGCAGGTGGGAAAGGGCAGTGTGGATTGCAATAGAGATGGCATCATCTGTGGATCTGTTTAGGCGGTATGTGAATTGGAGTGGGTCCAGGGTTTCTTGGATGATGGCCTTTCAAAGCATTTCATGGCTACAGATGTGAGTGCTACGGGGCGATAGTCATTTAGACAGGTTACCTTGGCGTTCTCGGGCACAGGGACTATGGTGGTCTGCTTGAAACAGGCATTACAAGACTGGGTCAGAGAAAGGTTGAGAATGTCAGTGAAGACACTTTCCAGCTGGTCAGCACATGCTCTTGAGTACGCCTCTTGGTAATCCGTCTGGCCCTTCGGCCTTGTGAATGTTAATCTGTTTCAAGGGCATAGTCACATTCATCCGCGACAGCTGGTGCTCTCACATGGTTAAGTGTTGCTTGCCTCGAAGCGAGCATAGAAGGCATTTGGCTAATCTGGTAGGCTCGCATCACTGGGCAGCTCTCGGTTGGGTTTCCCTTTGTAATCCGTGGTAGTTTGCAAGACTTGCCTCATCTGTCGAGTGTCAGATCCGGTGTAGTAGGATTCGATCTTAGATGTTCTAGGCTGCTTATGGTAGAGTAACCTCTACTGAACAAAAATATAAACGCAACATGCAACAATTTCTATGATTTTTCTGAGTTACAGTTCATATGAGGAAATCAGTCAATTCAAAAAATATTTTAGGCCCTAATCTATGGATTTCACATGACTGGAAATACAGATTTGCATCTGGTCACATATACCTTTAAAAAATTAGGTGTGTGGATCATAAAACCAGTCAGTATCTGGTGTGAACACCATTTGCCTCATGTAGCTCGACACATCTCCTTCGCATAGAGTTGATCAGGCTGTTGATTGTGGCCTGTGGATGTTGTCACACTCCTTCAATGGCTGTGCGAAGTTGCTGGATATTGGTGGGAACTGGAACACTCTGCTGTACGCGTCGATCCAGAGCATCTCAAATGTGCTCAATGGATGACATGTCTGGTGAGTATCCAGGCCATGGAAGAACTGGGACATTTTCAGCTTCCAGGAATTGTGTACAGATCCTTGCGACATGGGGCCGTGCATTATCATGCTGAAACATGAGGTGATGGAGCGAATGAATGGCACTACAATGGGTCTCAGGATCTCGTCACGGTATCTCTGTGCCATCGATAAAATGCAATTGTGTTCGTTGTCCGTAGCTTATGCCTGCCTATACCATAATCCCACAGCCACCATGGGGCACTCTGTTCACAACATTTAACATCAGCAAACCGCCTGCCCGCACGACGCAATACACGCTGTTAGCCATCTGCCCAGTAAAGTTGAAACCGGGATTCAGGGATGAAGAGCAGACTTCTCTAGCGTGCCATTGACCATCGAAGGTGAGTGTTTGCCCACTGAAGTCGGTTACGACGCCTAACTGCAGTCAGGTCAAGAACCTGGTGAGGACAACGAGCACGTAGATGAGCTTCCCTAAGACGGTTTCTGACAGTTTGTGCAGAAATTCTTTGGTTGTTCAAACCAACAGTTTCATCAGCTGTCCAGGTGGCTTGTCTCAGACAATCCTGCAGGTGACGAAGCCGGATGTGGAGATCCTGGGCTGGCGTGGTTACACGTGGTCTGCGGTTATGAGGCCGGTTGGATATACTGCCAAATTCTCTTAAACGACGTTGGAGGCTGCTTCTGGTACAGAAATTAACATTCAGTTCTCTGCCAACAGCTTTGGTGTACATTCCTGCAGTCAGCATGCCAATTGTACGCGCCCTCAAAACCTTAGACATCTGTGGCTTTGTGTTGTGTGACAAAACTGCACATTTTAGTGTGGGCTTTTATTGTCCCCAGCACAGGGTGCACCTGTGTAATGGTCATGCTGTTTAAATCCCTAAGGTCGGTGTCTGCGCCCCGCGGAAATCTAATTGGCGTTTAAAAAAAAATCCCTATAAAAATCTGTCAGTTTAAGCTAAAGATGTTTTTTTTTGCATTGGATGTGTCTCAATCAACCGCATCCGCATATGTCGCACTTCCGCATCTGTGGTGAAAGGTGACAGAGCTAGAGCGGTGTTTGTCAGACCATGAGACATCCCAAAAAACGTTATTCTCACAAAATCGTCTGTAACGTCCGAACGGTTTGGGCTAGACACTAATATGACCCCCCTGTGGAAAGGTGAGATCTCACGAGTGCGTACATGTTGTTTTGCTCTAGGACGCCCACAGGCCTCAAGACTCGTCTGAAGTATATACAGTGGGGAAAAAAGTATTTAGTCAGCCACCAATTGTGCTAGTTCTCCCACTTAAAAAGATGAGAGAGGCCTGTAATTTTGATCATAGGTACACGTCAACTATGACAGACAAATTGAGGAAAAAAAATCCAGAAAATCACATTGTAGGATTTTTAATGAATTTATTTGCAAATTATGGTGGAAAATAAGTATTTGGTCACCTACAAACAAGCAAGATTTCTGGCTCTCACAGACCTGTAACTTCTTCTTTAACAGGCTCCTCTGTCCTCCACTCGTTACCTGTATTAATGGCACCTGTTTGAACTTGTTATCAGTATAAAAGACACCTGTCCACAACCTCAAACAGTCACACTCCAAACTCCACTATGGCCAAGACCAAAGAGCTGTCAAAGGACACCAGAAACAAAATTGTAGACCTGCACCAGGCTGGGAAGACTGAATCTGCAATAGGTAAGCAGCTTGGTTTGAAGAAATCAAATGTGGGAGCAATTATTAGGAAATGGAAGACATACAAGACCACTGATAATCTCCCTCGATCTGGGGCGCCACGCAAGATCTCACCCCGTGGGGTCAAAATGATCACAAGAACGGTGAGCAAAAATCCCAGAACCACACGGGGGGACCTAGTGAATGACCTGCAGAGAGCTGTGACCAAAGTAACAAAGCCTACCATCAGTAACACACTACGCCGCCAGGGACTCAAATCCTGCAGTGAAAGACGTGTCCCCCCTGCTTAAGCCAGTACATGTCCAGGCCCGTCTGAAGTTTGCTAGAGTGCATTTGGATGATCCAGAAGAGGATTGGGAGAATGTCATATGGTCAGATGAAACCAAAATATAACTTTTTGGTAAAAACTCAACTCGTCGTGTTTGGAGGACAAAGAATGCTGAGTTGCATCCAAAGAACACCATACCTACTGTGAAGCATGGGGGTGGAAACATCATGCTTTGGGGCTGTTTTTCTGCAAAGGGACCAGGACGACTGATCCGTGTAAAGGAAAAAATGAATGGGGCCATGTATCGTGAGATTTTCAGTGAAAACCTCCTTCCATCAGCAAGGGCATTGAAGATGAAACGTGGCTGGGTCTTTCAGCATGACAATGATCCCAAACACACCGCCCGGGCAACGAAGGAGTGGCTTCGTAAGAAGCATTTCAAGGTCCTGGAGTGGCCTAGCCAGTCTCCAGATCTCAACCCCATAGAAAATCTTTGAAGGGAGTTGAAAGTCCGTGTTGCCCAGCGACAGCCCCAAAACATCACTGCTCTAGAGGAGATCTGCATGGAGGAATGGGCCAAAATACCAGCAACAGTGTGTGAAAACCTTGTGAAGACTTACAGAAAACGTTTGACCTGTGTCATTGCCAAAAAGGGTATATAACAAAGTATTGAGAAACTTTTATTGACCAAATCCTTATTTTCCACCATAATTTGCAAATAAATTCATAAAAAATCCTACAATGTGATTTTCTGGAGAAAAAAAATCTCATTTTGTCTGCCATAGTTGACGTGTACCTATGATGAAAATTACAGGCCTCTCTCATCTTTTTAAGTGGGAGAACTTGCACAATTGGTGGCTGACTAAATACTTTTTTCCCCCACTGTATGGAGACTGTTTAGTGCCAAATATAAGGCGTTAAATACATGTAAAAAAATTAAAGTTTCCTGATGTTTCTTATATCTCTCATATATAGGACAGACTCTTCAGAACAAACTTCCTTGATTTTGTTTTGGGACTATCTGTTGTTCCGTGTAGTGAATCTGTCAGGGGTGCCACTTTGGTTTTAGAAGTGGGGGGAACATAACCTGGCGGGGTGGTCTTAAGCTAATTTCCTGCATTTTCACACAGTCCAATATGCCGTCACTATTTAGAACAAAAAGTAAGCAAAAATGCCCACAGTCATCAAGCTAGGTAAGAGATCATTTATGAAATGTTTAAGTGATTTTAATAAGACTGAACTAGATCAAAGGTAATTCAATAATACGTATTGTGTTGCACCTTCAACCAATACCCTAACAAATGAACAACTCCTGAAAAAATACAAATAATTTTGATTGTCTTTATTAAAACATCCTCTATATCAAAATTCAGCCAGACCGACCAGCCTGCCCGAGCCGCCTGTACTCCCGACCCCCACCAGTCTAGTCAATAACTCAACTCTCTCCCAACACAAGTTCCTTCCCAGTTCCTACCTTTTAATTTTTTTTGTTCCGAAGGGGAATGATTTGGAAACAAAAAAAACACACCTCAAAAATACATTTAACACACAGAAACAGCAAATCCCTTCATATAATAAATATCATAGGATTAATAGTACTGTAGAGCTCTTTCTACTTGCACACAATGTAGCTGGGTCACCCCATCCTGTTCCTAGGGGTTCATCACCCTGCAGCGCCCCAACCCAACCCAACACACTCAGCTTTAGGATCTTAGTGAAATATTCATTATTGGTTTCAGGTGTGTTAGGCCAAGACCAAAGTGACAACCCACAGGACGGCAGACCCCCGGGGCCAGGACTGAGCAGCCCAACAGCTAGGGATTGCCTAAATAGGTATCTCCCCTGACGTGGTCATGTTTTCAATACAGACTCCTTTTGTTTTACTGTATTCCATATAGGGCATCCAGACCTTATGAAAGTTGCCCAGTATAACCTTAATCTGGTAATAAATCAAAGCTAGTGATGCATAACTTGACCTTGTGGGAGGATAACCAACCTTCCAAATATTGGCAATGCATATCTTAGCCACTATTAATACTTGGTTACACAGTTTCTTGAGGTAATAGTCTCCAGTTTCAACATTTCCAAGCAAACAAAAACAGGGAGAAGGGAGAATCTGTAGACATGTTGAGATAAAATAGCATAGTCTTTGGCAGAATTCAGCCAGCCTTCACAAGACCATAACATATGCAAATATGTCCTGTTTTGTGTTTATAACCTCCAGCAGAGGAATTACATTTCTGAGTGAATGTAATTCAGTTTCACTGGTAGGGCTGACCCCAATTAGTCGACTTGTCGATTGTTTGGTCGTTAGGCTGTTGGTCGACCTAGATTGTTTTAGTCGAGCAGTTATATATATGCGCCCATATCAGTGAAGTAATCCATTGCGGAGACTAAAAGCCAATTTATGCTTGATCCGTAAATGTGGTCGTAGGGTCTATATGGAGTGTGTGACGCAATTGTGGAGCCTCCAGAGGCATGCAGAGTCCAAATCGAGCTCCGTACCGTATTGCCATGCGCCTCCCAAATTTTGTAACGATGCGCATTGAAATGTTTGGTTGACAGTAGTACATCCTGTTGAAAACACAAACTCCCTTCCTTGACAACAGCTCTGCACTGCTCCGCGAAGCTCAAGAAGAATGAATGCCCTGACTTCTGCTGAGGCCATATCACCGTAAATGCTGCATGGCCAATGCAGACGTCAGATTGACCATGCACCCAGATGCACAATACACTTCTCTCTCCAGAATGCGCTCTCTCCCGCCAATTTGTGCACATTCACTGTTTCATAACTTCATTGTGTGAATTGTTTGCATTTGATTGTTAGTGTATATCAATTCCCCATTACATATATCACCAGTAGTACATTTACCATTAATTCCTATAATTTCTAATCTACAATGTTTGTTATGGTAATTTCTGTTAATACATTCAATATTATTATTACAGTCTTCCCGTTATCATTGACAGAGTGGACACATTGTTTGCAGAACCTATGCTACACTTGTGAGAAACAAGTTTTGGTTTATTTCATTCTATTTACGAGTTTAGTGAATTTAGTCATTGTCTTTTGTTTGGAGCGCTCTTGTCAATGTTGAGTAAGGATGTGCACCTGATTACGCATAGAAGTAGGCCTATAGGCTACCTGGCCTGTAGGCATATAAATGTGCCCATTTGGGAATCTGATAGTATTTCTGATTGGCTTAACGCACCACCACTAATGAGCTGTGGAGCTTCTCAAAGTAATGTTTTCTTCACCTCAAAGAGCAAGCAAACAAAGTCTGTTTTTACATCCATTGAGAATTACAATAGTTCCTCAATGTATTTGAAAAATCTTTCCAGCTCTCTCCCTTTCGATAACCACTCAGCGTGAACGGGCAAAATGTCAAATCCGGTGAGCTCCTGCCCAAGTCAAGCACTGCTTCTTATGCCTTGCGCAAATAGCCTACAGCTGTGTCTGTCCCAGAATATTTTATGTTGAAAGTTCGCTAGCGCAAGCTTCCCGCTGGACCCAAGTTAATAGTTGATTCAACGTTTCAAGTTCGTTGCGGACAGGCCATGTGTAGCCAATGTGATTTATAGGATATTTATTTTTATCAGGATATTTTCTACCTGCAGGCTACAATGTTTTTATTTGTTGGCTTTATGTAGGCTATTTTTACATAGTTGGCAATGGCAATAGAAGTTACTTTTTAGGTTTGTATCATTTATTTGTTTAGATTTGGATAGAATTTTGATTAACCACATGACAATGAGATATTTTGAGATATGAAGAAGTTATAACAAATTTAATGAAACTGTTTCACGAAAATGTGCATATGAAAATCATAACTGGCACGCAGATCAGTACAAATGGTAAGATAAATTGGCATTCCATATGAGAAAGGTTGCCGACTCCTCGTGTAGCCTATTACCGGCAACTTCAGGAGAGTAATGGCAGAATCTGCGAAAGCCAGCAAGAGCGGGAGGAGAATAATTGGGTCAGGTTAAGGTTTTTTTTCTTCTGGTTTTCTAGATCTCTGGCGCCCTCAAGGCATTTGTCTTATTTCATCAAACCATAAACTTAAAGCAATCAGACAAGCTTAATGCATTTATTAAAACACAGGGTGTGTCTATATATGGAAAAAATACAAGCCGAAACTTCCTCAAACACTTCAAACTATGTTTGGTAGCGTTGATACTCGAGAATAATATGCTCTCGATGGTGCAGCTGTAGAACATTTTGAGGATCTGAGGACCCATGCCAAACTGTTTTGCGAGCACAGACTGGAATATGTTCCGGGATTCATCCAATGGCATTGAGGAGTATACCACCTCAGTCACCGGCTTCATCAAAAGTGCATCGATGACGTCGTCCCCACAGTGACCGTGTGTACATATCCTAACCAGAAGCCATGGATTACAGGCAACATCCACACCAAGCTAAAGGCTAGAGCTGCCGCTTTCAAGGAGCTGGACACTAATCCGGACGCTTATAAGAAATCCCGCTATGCCCTCAGACGAACCGTCAATACAGGACTAAGATTAAATCATACTACACCGGCTCTGACGCTCGTCGGATGTGGCATGGCTTGCAAACTATTACGGACTACAAAGGGAAACCCAGCCGCTAGCTGCCCAGTGACGCAAGCCTACCAGACGAGCTAAATGCCTTTTTATGCTCGCTTCGAGGCAAGCAGCACTGAATAGTCACTTTACCCCTACCTACATGTACGACTTACCTTGACTAACCTGTACCCCTGCACATTGACTTGGTACCGGCACCCCCTGTATATAGCCTCATTATTGTTATTTTATTGTTACTTTTTATTTTATTTTATACTTTATTTAGTAAATATTTTCTTAACTCTATTTCTTGAATTGCATTGTTGGTTAACAGCTTGTAGGTAAAAATTTCACGGTAAGGTCTACACCTGTTGTATTTGGCGCATGTGACAAATAAAATGTGATTTTAACATTTTATTTGAAGCATGTATGAGAGCTGTTCCGGACGACTGTGTGATCACGCTGTCCGTAGCCGATGTGAGCAAGACCTTTTAAACAGGTCAACATTCACAAGGCCGCGGGGCCAGACGGATTACCAGGACGTGTACTCAGAGCATGCGCGGACCAACTGGCAAGCGTCTTCACTGACATTTTCAACCTCTCCCAGACCGAGTCTGTAATACCTGCATGTTTCAAGCAGACCACCATTATCCCTGTGCCCATGAAAATGAAGGTAACCTGCCTAGATTTACTACCGCCCCATAGCACTCACGTCGGTAGTGCTTTGAAATGCTGGTCATGACTCACATCAACACCATCTCGGAAACCCTAGACCCACTCCAATTTGCATACCGCCTCAACAGATCCACAGATGACGCAATCACACTCCAAACTGCCCTTTCCCACCTGGACAAAAGGAACACCTAATGTGAGAATTCTGTTAATTGACTACAGCTCAGCGTTCAACACCATAGTTCCCACAAAGCTCATCACTAAGCTAAGGACCCCGGGACTAAACACCTCCCTCTGCAACTGGATCCTGGACTTCCTGACGGGCTGCCCCCAGGTGGTAACGGTAGGCAACAACACATCTGCCACGCTGATCCTAAATACTGTGGCCCCTAAGGGGTGTGTGCTTAGTCCCCTCCTGTGCTTCCTGTTCACCCAAGACTGCATGGCCAAGCACGACTCTAACACCAATGACACAACAGTGGTAGGGCTGATCACCGACAACGATGAGACAGCCTATAGGGAGGAGGTCAGAGACCTGGCAGTGTGGTGCCAGGACAACAACCTCTTCCTCAATGTGAGCAAGACAAAGGAGATGATTGTGGACTACAGGAAATGGAGGGCCGAACAGGCCCCCATTCTCATCGACGGGGCTGTAGTGGAGCGGGTCGAGAGTTTCAAGTTCCTTGGTGTCCACATCACCAACGAACTACCATGGTCCAAACACACCAAGACAGTTGTGAAGAGGGCACGACAACACCTTTTCCCCTCAGGAGACTGAAAAGATTTGGCATGGGATCCCAGATCCTCAAAGAGTTACACAGCTGCAGCACCGAGAGCATCCTGACCGGTTTCATCACCGCCTGGTATTGCAACTGCTTGGCATCCGACCGTAAGGCGCTACAGAGGTTAGCGCGTACAGCCCAGTACATCACTGGGGCCAAGCTTCCTGACATCAAGGACCTATATACTAGGCGGTGTCTGAGGAACGCCCAAAAATGTGTCAAAAACTCCAGTCACCCAAGTCATAGATTGTTCTCTCTGCTACCGCTATTTAAGAGTGACTGGCCCAGTGTTGCAGTTGTCATGATAGATGCAGAGGGTTAATGCCTTTAGTTGGCTCTCCCGATTTTTTTTATTTACAGTGGGGGGAAAAAGTATTTAGTCAGCCACCAATTGTGCAAGTTCTCCCGCTTAAAAAGATGAGAGGCCTGTAATTTTCATCATAGGTACACGTCAACTATGACAGACAAATTGAGAAAAAAAACATCCAGAAAATCACATTGTAGGATTTTTAATGAATTTATTTGCAAATTATGGTGGAAAATAAGTATTTGGTCAATAACAAAAGTTTCTCAATACTTTGTTATATACCCTTTGTTGGCAATGACACAGGTCAAATGTTTTCTGTAAGTCTTCACAAGGTTTTCACACACTGTTGCTGGTATTTTGGCCCATTCCTCCATGCAGATCTCCTATAGAGCAGTGATGTTTTGGGGCTGTTGCTGGGCAACACGGACTTTCAACTCCCTCCAAAGATTTTCTTTGGGGTTGAGATCTGGAGACTGGCTAGGCCACTCCAGGACCTTGAAATGCTTCTTACGAAGCCACTCCTTCGTTGCCCGGGCGGTGGGTTTGGGATCATTGTCATGCTGAAAGACCCAGCCACGTTTCATCTTCAATGCCCTTGCTGATGGAAGGAGGTTTTCACTCAAAATCTCACGATACATGGCCCCATTCATTCTTTCCTTTACACGGATCAGTCGTCCTGGTCCCTTTGCAGAAAAACAGCCCCAAAGCATGATGTTTCCACCCCCATGCTTCACAGTAGGTATGGTGTTCTTTGGATGCAACTCAGCATTCTTTGTCCTCCAAACACAACGAGTTGAGTTTTTACCAAAAAGTTATATTTTGGTTTCATCTGACCATATGACATTCTCCCAATCCTCTTCTGGATCATCCAAATGCACTCTAGCAAACTTCAGACGGGCCTGGACATGTACTGGCTTAAGCAGGGGGACACGTCTTGCACTGCAGGATTTGAGTCCCTGGCGGCGTAGTGTGTTACTGATGGTAGGCTTTGTTACTTTGGTCCCAGCTCTCTGCAGGTCATTCACTAGGTTCCCCCGTGTGGTTCTGGGATTTTTGCTCACCGTTCTTGTGATCATTTTGACCCCACGGGGTGAGATCTTGCGTGGAGCCCCAGATCGAGGGAGATTATCAGGTGGTCTTGTATATCTTCCATTTCCTAATAATTGCTCCCACAGTTGATTTCTTCAAACCAAGCTGTTTACCTATTGCAGATGCAGACTTCCCAGCCTGGTGCAGGTCTACAATTTTGTTTCTGGTGTCCTTTGACAGCTCTTTGGTCTTGGCCATAGTGGAGTTTGGAGTGTGACTGTTTGAGGTTGTGGAAAGGTGTCTTTTTATACTGATAACAAGTTCAAACAGGTGCCATTAATACAGGTAACGAGTGGAGGACAGAGGAGCCTCTTAAAGAAGTTACAGGTCTGTGAGAGCCAGAAATCTTGCTTGTTTGTAGGTGACCAAATACTTATTTTCCACCATAATTTGCAAATAAATTCATTAAAAATCCTACAATGTGATTTTCTGGATTTTTTTCCTCAATTTGTCTGTCATAGTTGACATGTACCTATGATGAAAATTACAGGCCTCTCTCATCTTTTTAAGTGGGAGAACTTGCACAATTGGTGGCTGACTAAATACTTTTTTTCCCCACTGTATAGACTAACAATCCTTTATCTGATTTTGTTTTGCACCACCTTTTTTTATTTGCTTCCTGTCTAACTTTTGGTGTGGGTTTTTCTTTTGTTTGCCTCTTCTTGGGCAAATGTAGTGGGTGCTCATGGTGGGTCTTTTAGGTTCCAGTTGTTGTTGCTAGTCAACTTTCAGACACCCCCATGAGTGTCTTTCAGAACCCCTCCTAAAACCCCACCTGTTTCGTTTTAGTTGTTGGTCAGTGACTCTTTGTTAGTTCCCTCTTCTGTTTGAGCTGCATTTTTGATTTTCTTGCTGGGGAATGTAACACGTGTGTAATAGCCTTTTTCATTAATGATAGGCCAAGCTTTACTGAAGTTGCGAGACATTGCATGCCAAGAAATGGAAAGATACAGCATTCCATTGCTAGACACAGCTTTTGATTGCCGATGGATAGGTGTAGTGCACGGTTCTGACTGCCTGACTGGTGGCTGACCTGCCTTTACTGTGTCCCTCCCCTCTCTCTCCGTCCCTCGCTAGGTTGCTATGAAGGATGTGAGTGTTTTTGTTCTCGGAAGTACTGCAACTAATCAGTCTCCTCCATTCCAAATATATTGAGTCTTAGGACTCTTTACTCAACACCGGGGATCGATGTGCAAGGAGTGGAGGAATCAATTATTTTGGAGTGGACACTCCACCAGTACGTCATCCACAGGAGGTTGGTGGCACCTTAATTGGGGAGGACGGGCTCGTGGTAATGTCTGGAGCGGAATTGGTGGAATGGTATCAAATACATAAAACATGGTTTGATGCCATTGCTGGCAGCAGCGCAGCTGCATTGTGAATTCACATGGAATTTTATGAATCTTTCTTATTGTTTTAACGGAAAACCGATAATAAAATGGCTAAGTAAATGTTTCCATTTGTCACATCCCTAGTAGCATCCACATTAAGTGTTTATAAACATTATATTCTTATTTACAATAAAAGTGACTCCAAAATGACACTATTATTTACCATTCATTTCGATTGAGCACAAAATAATCTGAAACAAAACAAACTGCAAATGCATCCAACAAGTTTGTAGTCACAAGCTTGATGTAGCATGCTAGGAATATGGGACCAAATACAAAACATTTGACTACTTTACTATACATAAGTTAATTTGTCCAAATACTTAAAATGGGGGGTCTACGTATAGAAAGTGCTGTAATATATAAACGGTTCACCTGATATGGATGAAAATAACCTAAAATTTAAAGCTGACAGCCTACACTGTAATCTCCGTCATTGTATCGTTTCAAATCCAAAGTGCTGGAGTACAGAGACACAAATTGTCACTTTCCAAATACTTTTGGACCTCACAGTATACACTCAAATGGCCTATTTGTTCATGAAGATGTTTTCTGGTTCACTATACAGTTGGACCGCACGGAGAAGGTGAAAAACTGCCAGGACCCTGAGTTCTCCAAGAAGCTGCTCGTGGACTACCACTTTGAGAAGGTGCAGAAGTTGAAGCTGGGCGTCTATGACGTAGACAACAAGTCTGTCAATCTGAATGATGATGACTTCCTGGGGGGTTTTGAGTGCACACTGGGACAGGTGAGGATATATGAATGTGTGGACCAATTAGTCCGCCATCATTATTATACATTTGTGTACATTTTTATTTTCTCAAGTATAAACTTTACCCAATGTTCTTGAACTGCTCTACGAATTATGGTGTGCCTCCAACGATCAACCATTTGCCTTTCAGATTGTGTCCAGCAAGAAAATTACCAGACCTCTACAACTGAAGAAGGGGAAGCCTGCAGGCAAAGGCACCATTACTGTAAGTATTTAACTGGCTGTGTAAATGTAAAATGGTCCTACTTATGTAAATGTTAACAAACATAAGGCTAATGCAAACATTGTCTTGAGATCATCATATGAATTCTCTAATTTGTGTTTAATTATGTGTGTGTTTTTACAGATTACTGCTGAGGAGATAAAGGATAACAGGGCCATAGTGCTGGAGGTGGAGGCTAAAGGCCTGGATAAGAAGGTACAATTGAGGCACTTCTCAGTGCACAGTCTTTGCAAATGCAAAGTGGCCTACTTTATTAAGGAGTAATAAAAAGTGTTCTGAATTCTCTCCCGCCCATTATTTATTCCCCAGTGCTCATGGTTGTCTCTATTGCAGGACTTGTTTGGGAAATCTGATCCATTCCTTGAATTCTTTAAACAAGGAGATGACGGCAAGTGGCAGCTAGTTCACAGAACTGAGGTACTTATCACCATATTTATTTGGAGTAGCTGCAACCCAATATGTCGAGTATAGACTGGGTATTTCGAAAAGAAAGTAGGCTAATTGCGCACATGTAATTGGTTTGACTTTCTGTCAGTTCTTGCCAGCGAGTGCAGAGATTTGGGCGGACACGGCTGTAGAGAGGAAGGCGCATCGAAGTTGGTGAAACTCAGAATGAACTTGTCGTAAAATCACTCATACATTGGAAAAACATTGCATGTATCTTAACATCTTAACGTGTTGTGAACATTTTACATCTATCACGTTTAATTTCGGTTGTGTAGACTACTGTGGGCAAGGTCAAAGATAAAACTTGTCGATGTCCAGTTTCTGAACACCAATAGCAAGCTTGCTCAAGGGCCGACTTATGGGTTTGCCTGCCCGGCTACAGCTGGTGACAGCCAATTTACGAAGTGAGCGGGCAGAAATGGCCTACAGCAGGGTTTTTCAATTCCGCTACTAGAGGGCCGAAACACTTCAATTTTTTTGTTTCTTCCTGGTAGTGAATTGCACTCACCTGGTGTACCAGGTCTGAGTCCCTTATTAGAAGGAGTGGATGAAAACCCAATCAGTGTTTTGGCCCTCCCGGACTGTCATTGAACACCCCTGGTCTACATTCATACCCATCTGATACCAACACATTATGATATCAGGAAATTAAAATTAGTATACACTGGTTGCAGTTCTTCATGTTATCACAATTGCTTTTTTTGGGGGACGTATATGTGAACTCAACTGCTTTAGCAGTCATGCATTTCCTCAAGGAAAATGACTACGAGACTGAATACTCATCGGATGTTCATGACACAGAATACTGGAAATAAATTGTCATTTTTTGCTTTCATAAAAGGTTTAGTTGTGTATGTGATTAAAACTGATTTAGCAGTTATCATCCATGCATTTCCTCAAGGAGAGAACAAAATAGGCTACGCCACGTGCATTTCTTTTAAACACCCGCTTCTCACACCACACCACTACTCCGAGACCAGTCCGGGATAAAGCTACCTATTTTTATAATTAATTCTGTCTGATGAAGTTGTTTTGACCGGAACAGCACATTTGAAACATTCTCTAATAAAGTAGTATTTGTTTAATGGAGAGAGTATCGTGCATGACCACCTTATTGGTCTGTATTGTTATTTTGGCATGGTGCAATTGTAATTTCTATTTGTTGTGACTTGTTGATCTCATCCATTTGTCACTTCTTTTATTTATTTGTATTTTTTGTTAGGTTGTGAAGAATAATCTGAGTCCGTCATGGAAGAAATTCACTGTGGCTTTGCAAACATTCTGCAACTGTGACATGAGCAAACCAATCAAGGTATGAATAGCTGAAAGACCGTGGCATTTAGCAGACCTACACAAGCACTAGCATGTAGGGACCTCTCAGAGCTTATGGTGTCCTATAGAACCTGTTGAATTACAGATGTTGTGACTACTAAATTATGTGTTTTGTCTTGACATAACCTACAGCCCTATTCTTATGGGACCGCTGACCTATGTGTCTGCGTTACTGGCAGGTCACTTGTTATGATAAGGACGAAGACACCAGTTCAGATATGATAGGAGAGTTTACTTGCACTACCCGCCAGCTTTTGGACGCTAAAGACCGTGCGGTGAGCCAAAGAGAACCTCTCTCCGTCCTTTTGTCTCTCTTCAACTCCCTCTATCCTGTCCCCCTTCCCCAGGTCCACTGCTCTGATTATGATAGTGATGGTTCGCATGACCTTATCGGTGTTTTCCAAACTAATGTGTCTGAGCTGCAGAAAGCTTCCCATGGTTCGCCGGTGAGACCATGTCTTTTTTTCTTGCATTTTTGCTTACCTTACTGTTAACCTTCTGTCTCTTTTATGGATCCCACTTGACATTAAATTGTAAAGATACCATGTTACATCAATTGAAAGTTGTTTTGTGTAATTAATTGCATCTAACTACACAGTAACTTCACTAATTACTCATTTGAAACACATTTTTGCCAGTTTCTGATTATAATTGAATCATTGTTCTGTGCCTTTACAGTATAGCTACCATATGCTTTATATATTAACTACATGTGTAAGAGCTGAGCAGCTTAATGTAAAGTGTTTCTGCCTCATGTATCTAATCATGATGTATTTGAGGAATTTGTATATATTGCCCATTGTGATCAGGTGGAGTTTGACTGTGTCCATCCAGAGAAGCAGAAGAAGAAGAAGAGTTACAAAAACTCTGGAGTAATCAGTGTCAAGAGCTGCCAGGTAGGTTATAAATATACTGAACAAAAATATGAACGCAACATGCAACAATTTCAACGATTTTACTGAGTTACAGTTCATATATGGAAATCAGTCAATTGAAATAAATTAATTCGTCCCTAATCTATGGATTTCACATGGGTGGGCCTGGGATGGCATAGACCCACCCACTTGAGTCAGGCCCACCCACTGGGGAGCCAGCCTCAGCCAATTAGACCATCCCGCAGGTGAAGAAGCTGGATTTGGAGGTCCTGGGCTGGCGTGGTTGCACGTGGTCTCCGGTTGTGAGGCCGGTTGGGCGTACTGCCAAATTCTCTAAAACATAAGGCAGTTTATGGTAGAGAAATTAACATTACATTCTCTGACAACAGCTCTGGTGGACATTCCTGCAGTCAGCATGCCAACTGCACGCTCCCTCAAAACTTGAGAAATCTGTGGCATTGTGTTGTGTGACAAAACTGCACATTTTAGTGTCCTTTTATTATCCCCAGCACAAGGTGCACATGTGTAATGATCATGCTGTTTAATCAGCTTCTTGATATGCCACACCTGTCAGGTGGATGGATTATCTTGGTGAAGGAGAAAATCTCACTAACGGGGACATAAACAAATTTGTGTACAACATTTGAGAGAAATATGCTTTTTTTGCATATGGAACATTTCTGGGATATTTTATTTCAGCTCATGAAACATGGGACCAACACTTTACATGTTGCGTTTCTATTTTTGTTCAGTATAATTGCACAGAAGCTTCATTAGCCCTTAGATTTTACCCTATTTTTAAAAAGTTGATACTTCTAAAGCAAATTGTAATTTCCCCCTAGATACAGGCACAGTACACATTCCTGGACTATGTCATGGGAGGATGCCAAATAAATTTTACGGTAAGTGCAGGCTCTTCAGACACAATCAGATGTAAGGGGTTGAAGTTTTGCTTATTTTTTCTTTTTTTTAAATCTTATTTATGTTTTTTACGTTTTATCTTTCTTTTTTTCTTTTTTTTCTTTTTTTCGGGGGGAATGGATCAGCTTATTGCAGATAGATTGTATCTTCTATCAATGTAATTGTCTGCATCACTTCCAATCCCCCATGTTTTTTATACTCCCCTTTATTACTTTTCAACCCCACCATCCTTTCCCTACTTGGAGTAAATTAGTGAACAACAATGCCCAGGCCTCAACTTCCGGTCTATAATTACTATCTACACCTTATGGACAGAGTTAATTTTACAATAATTCTATTATATATATATTTTTTTTTATTTTTATTTTTTTGCTCTTGAACTTCTTCTACTCTCAACCTCTCTGATCATTTTCATGATGTCCATCCGGTTTGCTTCTATATGCCATATCTTTCTAACTAGCTCATGTCCAAAAGTCAAGCAATATGTTTGATGGATTGAAAATGCACTAATGGAAATAAGCTCAGACTGCTGATAGCTACTTTATTAAAGAAAAATGTACTTACTGTGATGTGGTTGTCCCACCTAGCTATCTTAAAATGAAAGCACTAAGTAAGTCGCTCTGAATAAGAGTGTCTGCTAAATTACTTAAATGTCGAATGTAAACAGCTGAGGGATGGGGCTGGAGAAATGTAACCACTCTCAAAATAGACAGAGTACAGACTTTGTTTGCAATTACAAACAATTGAGTAAAACAAGCTTATGTTTGGGGTTCTAATGGGGTACGGCAAATAGACTAAGCTCATGAGGCATTTACAAGTTGTATTCTTTAAGAATCAATGGCTATATCTATGAAATTCCAAAAATGGATGTACCATTCCCGGATTGCTTCTTTAAATTAGTATTTCTTTTAGCTTTTTGTTCCAATTGCACCATCACTCATGGTTCCTACATTTCTCTAAGGTGGGCATTGATTTCACTGGGTCAAACGGCGACCCTCGCTCTCCACAGTCCCTGCATTACCTGAGTCCTGACGGTCTGAACCAGTACCTTTCGGCCACATGGTCAGTGGGCCTGGTGGTCCAGGACTATGACACGTAAGAAGAACACTCTTTCTGCTCAGTAGAACGCCAAAGAAGGAGAGGCCGTGAGTAGATTAATAGATGGCTAAATTCAGATTCCCTACTCTTCTCCTCGAAGTGTACACTTGTTCACCCCCCATGCATTTAAAATACAGTGGGGAAAAAAAGTATTTAGTCAGCCACCAATTGTGCAAGTTCTCCCACTTAAAAATATGAGAGAGGCCTGTAATTTTCATCATAGGTACACGTCAACTATGACAGACAAGTTGAGGAAAAGAAATCCAGAAAATCACATTGTAGGATTTTTAATGAATTTATTTGCAAATTATGGTGGAAAATAAGTATTTGGTCACCTACAAACAAGCAAGATTTCTGGCTCTCACAGACCTGTAACTTCTTCTTTAAGAGCCTCCTCTGTCCTCCACTCGTTACCTGTATTAATGGCACCTGTTTGAACTTGTTATCAGTATAAAAGACACCTGTCCACAACCTCAAACAGTCACACTCCAAACTCCACTATGGCCAAGACCAAAGAGCTGTCAAAGGACACCAGAAACAAAATTGTAGACCTGCACCAGGCTGGGAAGACTGAATCTGCAATAGGTAAGCAGCTTGGTTTGAAGAAATCAACTGTGGGAGCAATTATTAGGAAATAGAAGACATACAAGACCACTGATAATCTCCCTCGATCTGGGGCTCCACGCAAGATCTCACCCCGTGGGGTCAAAATGATCACAAGAACGGTGAGCAAAAATCCCAGAACCACACGGGGGGACCTAGTGAATGACCTGCAGAGAGCTGGGACCAAAGTAACAAAGCCTACCATCAGTAACACACTACGCCGCCAGGGACTCAAATCCTGCAGTGCCAGACGTGTCCCCCTGCTTAAGCCAGTACATGTCCAGGCCCATCTGAAGTTTGCTAGAGTGCATTTGGATGATCCAGAAGAGGATTGGGAGAATGTCATATGGTCAGATGAAACCAAAATAGTAAAAACTCAACTCGTCGTGTTTGGAGGACAAAGAATGCTGAGTTGCATCCAAAGAACACCATACCTACTGTGAAGCATGGGGGTGGAAACATCATGCTTTGGGGCTGTTTTTCTGCAAAGGGACCAGGACGACTGATCTGTGTAAAGGAAAGAATGAATGGGGCCATGTATCGTGAGATTTTGAGTGAAAACCTCCTTCCATCAGCAAGGGCATTGAAGATGAAACGTGGCTGGGTCTTTCAGCATGACAATGATCCCAAACACACCGCCCGGGCAACGAAGGAGTGGCTTCGTAAGAAGCATTTCAAGGTCCTGGAGTGGCCTAGCCAGTCTCCAGATCTCAACCCCATAGAAAATCTTTGGAGGGAGTTGAAAGTCTGTGTTGCCCAGCGACAGCCCCAAAACATCACTGCTCTAGAGGAGATCTGCATGGAGGAATGGGCCAAAATACCAGCAACAGTGTGTGAAAACCTTGTGAAGACTTACAGAAAACGTTTGACCTGTGTCATTGCCAACAAAGAGTATATAACAAAGTATTGAGAAACTTTTGTTATTGACCAAATACTTATTTTCCACCATAATTTGCAAATAAATTCATTAAAAATCCTACAATGTGATTTTCTGGATTTTTCTTTCTCAATTTGTCTGTCATAGTTGACGTGTACCTATGATGAAAATTACAGGCCTCTCTCATCTTTTTAAGTGGGAGAACTTGCACAATTGGTGGCTGACTAAATACTTTTTTTCCCCACTGTAAATAATCTGTTGTAAGAAATACGGTGGGTACTCTCTCCAGCAATGCTGACACCAGTTCAATGCTGTTAAATCTATGAGAGGAAGAGGGAAGTGCACACTTTGGGGGACAGGCAAAGGGAGTATGAATACAGCAACTGAGATGAATAAGAGCACTTGGCTTGACTTCCTGGTTGTGCAGATTTAGGTCATGGAAATGTTTAGCCCTAAGTAAGGATCATTAACAAATTGTTATTTCTATAGAGGCGGGGACCTAAATGGACTAACATGGCGGGTTTGGCCTGTTACTCTGGACAACATCCCTCCATTGTTTTCATGATGCCTCTGTCATTGTGATAGTCTGCTCAAATCTCATATTGTTTTATGTGCTTCCTCAGTGACAAACTCTTCCCTGCCTTTGGATTTGGAGCTCAAGTGCCCCCAGACTTCAAGGTTAGATAAAATAAAATAAAAGGGGTAAATATTTCAGGAAAACAAGTTTTGTAAGTTAGTAAATCGGTGTGTTATTAACCCTGCAGGTATCCCATGAATTTGCACTGAACTTCAACCCAAGTAATCCTTACTGTCAAGGTAAATATTTGTGTGTGTGTTAATATAATCCATGTCCATCAGCATGACTATTGCATCATGTGTATTGATCTAACCTGTTTAGATAAAATAAAAAAATGAAACCATACTCTGCCTGTTGTTGGCCTAGATGCATAATGATTTATTCATGAATTTATTTGCCATTTGAAATGTTTTACATATAAACCTACAGCTGCCATACTCAATACGGTAAAATATGGACCATACTCGATACGGACCGAACAACACCAAATGTCTACTGAATGCGCTGATTAGTTCTTAGAACCGTGGTTATGTGAGTAACCTCCAATATCCACTATTAGTCTGTTTCCCTCTATGACACTCACAAGCTGTGCAGGACTCGTTAGAAGGGAGTGTGACGCATCCAGAGAATGACTGGGGAACATGAATTGATTCTCCACAGAAGATAATACACAAAGATTATTTTATGATCATCCCTGATGTTTTCCTGAACTTTCCAATACCTTTCTAATGCATTTCAATCACTTCAAAGCATATTGACTAACACTGACAAAGGGATAGTTCATCCAAAATGTTTGGGCCAAATTCCTCTTACCTTGAGTTGTCTGTAGGCCAGTAGTGACAGCATCCACAATTAGTTGTTTACTTTTGCCACAGCCATAATGAGTTAGTATTATTAGCATCGTCCAAAAATGAATGTAATCCATGGTACCGATGTTGGCAAAGCTGCATTGCAAGCCGAAACTTCCTCAAAAACACTTCAAACTATGTTTGGTAGCGTTGATACTCGAGAAGAACCTGTTCATATTATTTTCCCTATGGGAATGTAGTTATTTTTGCAGTAATATCTGAATATTCCAATGGTCTGATAGTTCAGTCAAGCCAGCTGTGAGTTTGTTCACAGCTGGTAGTCAATCCATGTTTGAGTGCCCAATGGAAGACTCAAATTACAATGCAATACAACTTAATTTTCTATGTTAAAGCAAACAACAGAAACATATGTGGCTGTGAGACTACAGGAGAAAATGGGTTGTTTTGAGTAACAAAATTCCAGCAATTATTTCATCAGTATGCACGTAAACAAATCCCTGCAAACTCCACCAACTACTGAATTTAGTTTGAAGTGTTTTTTAGGTAGTTTCTCCTTGCAATGCAGCTTTGCTAACATCGATACCATGGATTATTCATTTTTGTGGGCGATGCTAATCATGCTAGCTCCTGGCTGTGGCAAAACCGATTATTGTGGATGCTGTCACTACTGTCCTACACACAACTCAAGGTAAGAGGAATTTGACCCAAACATACATTTTGGATGAACTATCCCTTAAAGTCCTTGTTCATTGAAGGCCATTGGTTCAGTGTACCTTTTTCATACAGATAACTATGCAACCACTTTTGTTCTTCAGCAATGTCACAACTTTACACTTTTTCTTCATATTTTCAATAAAGTTTAATAATGAATGTGTTGTACTGAAATAGCAGTAGCCTACTGTACACATTCCTGCACTGTATGGCACATTTTCACAATCAAAATCACCTTTTAGTAATTCATTGAACTATGTAATTAGTCTCATTTGATGTATTTACCAGTATTCCTCAAAACATTTTATGCAAAAACAGTTGTAGATTTTGTTACTATGCCGATAAATTACAATATACATCCGGACTGTTGCCACCTAGGAAATGTGTGTGATTGAACCTTCTCAGATAATGAGTATCACTGACCTACAGTATACACACCAGTTTTAGCTCAAACTAATGTTTTGATATGTTGCAGGGGTACAGGGGATTGTGGAGGCCTACCGCATGGCCCTACCTCAGGTGAAGCTCTACGGTCCCACCAACTTCTCCCCCATCATCAACCACGTGGCAAGCATTGCGTCAGGGGCGGCACAGCAGAACAACGCATCGGTGAGTCTAGACCACATGCAACACCTCTTCCCCTTCCTTCCTCTCATTAAAGGATATCTTCTCTTTTTCAGCTTAACCTGAAAATAGTCTAAAACACATGTAATACATGGGACTTATATCGCGCTTTTCAAGGACCCAAAGTCAAAACAACATGAGACTAAACATAAATGTGAATAAAGAGAGGAGTGGGCTCAATGAAGGGAAAGCATGTGATGTATCAGTGTATGGGGAGGGTAGGGTTGGGGTTCGGATACGAACCCGGTTTAGGTTACCGGGAGGGAGTTCTAGGAGCAACCCTGGAGAAGGCCTTGTCGCCGAAGCTCTGGAGCTTCGACCTGAGGATGAGAAGGTGGCCTGTTGTGGTGGAACGGAGTGCCCGTGTGGGTTGGGAGGGGAGAAAGTCTGAGAGGTGGGTGGAGGTGGGTAAAGTGGTGAAGGGCTTTGTATGTCAGAAGGAGGATCCTCAGAACTCCCACCCTCATCAGACTGTGAGGCTGCTAGAGACTCCGGCCCATTCATCATCCACGATGGATACTACAGCTGGCTCCGGTTCATTGGGCCCTAAGATCCTCGAGGTGAAAGAACGGCCGGATCTCCTCAGCCATTGCACCAGCTCTTGTCATTGGCAGTTATATTGTAAGAAACATCTTGGTTCCTGGGGCAAAAACCCAAAAACCATGTGCTATACTGGAGCACGAGTACAGGACATTACAAGGCTGCTTCCGACCATTCTACGACAGATGCCGAGAGCTGACGCTGTCGTAGTCCATGTGGGGTCAAACGACTTCAGGAAGGCTAGCTCGGAACTTCTGAAAATTGATTTTAAAGATCAGATTTTAGCACTGAAATATTCCAAAAAGCAGCCAAATATTTCAGGTCCGGTACCATCGTTGGGCCGCGAGTGTGAAGGATTCAACAGGCTACTGGCATTACACACCTGGCTAAAAGATTACTGTACTCTGTTGAAATCACTTTTATAGATAACTTTGACACCTTCTGGAAACAGAAGATGCTCTACAGGAATACAGAGTCAATCCAAATCATCTTGGCTCCTGGACTCAGTCCACGCATTTCGCGGCTGCATTGAGACAATGACTTAAAAATGACCAGCTCAGTTAAGCAATAAAAATCCCAGGAAAGTGCTAAAAATAGCCCACATTAACATACACTACCAGTCAAAAGTTTGGACACACCTACTCATTAAAGGGTTTTTCTTTATTTTTACTATTTTTTACATTGTAGAATAGTAGTGAAGACATCAAAACTATGAAATAACACATATGAAATCATGTAGTAAATAAAAGTGTTGAACAAATCAACAAATATTTTATATTTGAGATTCTTCAAATAGCCACCCTTTGCCTTGATGACAGCTTTGCACACTCTTGGCATTCCTTCAACCAGCTTCCGCTGGAATGCTTTTCCAACATTCTTGGAGTTCCCACATATGCTGAGCACTTGTTGGCTGCTTTTCCTTCACTCTGCGGTCCGACTCATCCCAAACCATCTCAATTTGGTTGAGGCCAGGTCAACTGATGCAGCACTCCATCACTCTCCTTCTTGGTAAAATAGCCCTTACACAGCCTGGAGGTGTGTTGGGTCATTGTCCTGTTGAAAAACAAATCATAGTCCCAATATGCCCAAACCTGATGGGATGGCGTATCGATGTAGAATGCTGTGGTAGCCATGCTGGTTAAGTGTGCCTTGAATTGTAAATAAATCTCAGACCGTGTCACCAGCAAAGCACCATAACACCACCACCTCCATGCTTTACGGTGGGAAATACACATGCAGAGATCATCCGTTCATCCACACCGTGTCTCACAAAGACACAGCGGTTGGAACCAAATATCTCAAATTTAGACTCCAGACCAAAGGACACATTTCCACTGGTCTAATGTCCATTGCTCGTGTTTCTTGGCCCAGCAGGTCTCTTCTTATTATTGGTGTCCTTTAGTAGTAGTTTATTTGCAGAAATTCGACCATGAAGGCCTGATTCACACAGTCCCTTCTGAACAGTTGATGTTGAGATGTCTGTTACTTGAACTCTATGAAACATTTATTTGGGCTGCAATTTCAGAGGCTGGTAACTCTAATGAACTTATCCCCTGCAGCAGAGGTAACTGTCTTTTAGACCACTAAGCTATAGACTACTAAGTCAGTATCAGGATAATATGTGTGAAATGCTTGATTATTTACAGTGGGGAGAACAAGTATTTGATACACTGCCGATTTTGCAGGTTTTCCTACTTACAAAGCATGTAGAGGTCTGTAATTTTTATCATAGGTACACTTCAACTGTGAGAGACGGAATCTAAAACAAAAATCCAGAAAATCACATTGTATGATTTTTAAGTAATTCATTTGCATTTTATTGCATGACATAAGTATTTGATCACCTACCAACCAGTAAGAATTCCGGCTCTCACAGACCTGTTAGTTTTTCTTTAAGAAGCCCTCCTGTTCTCCACTCATTACCTGTATTAACTGCACCTGTTTGAACTTGTTACCTGTATAAAAGACACCTGTCCACACACTAAATCAAACAGACTCCAACCTCTCCACAATGGCCAAGACCAGAGAGCTGTGTAAGGATATCAGGGATAAAATTGTAGACCTGCACAAGGCTGGGATGGGCTACAGGACAATTTTTTATTATTTTTTATTTCACCTTTATTTAACCAGGTAAGCCAGTTGAGAACAAGTTTCTCATTTACAACTGCGACCTGGCCAAGATAAAGCAAAGCAGTGCGATAAAAACAACAACACAGAGTTACATATGGGGTAAAAAAAACAAAGTCAAAAATACAACAGAAAATATATACAGTGGGGGAAAAAAAGTATTTAGTCAGCCACCAATTGTGCAAGTTCTCCCACTTAAAAAGATGAGAGAGACCTGTAATTTTCATCATAGGTACACGTCAACTATGACAGACAAAATGAGAAAAGAAAATCCAGAAATTCACATTTGCAAATTATGGTGGAAAATAAGTATTTGGTCAATAACAAAAGTTTCTCAATACTTTGTTATATACCCTTTGTTGGCAATGACACAGGTCAAACGTTTTCTGTAAGTCTTCACAAGGTTTTCACACACTGTTGCTGGTATTTTGGCCCATTCCTCCATGCAGATCTCCTCTAGAGCAGTGATGTTTTGGGGCTGTCGCTTGGCAACACGGACTTTCAACTCCCTCCAAAGATTTTCTATGGGGTTGAGATCTGGAGACTGGCTAGGCCACTCCAGGACCTTGAAATGCTTCTTACGAAGCCACTCCTTCGTTGCCCGGGCGGTGTGTTTGGGATCATTGTCATGCTGAAAGACCCAGCCACGTTTCATCTTCAATGCCCTTGCTGATAGAAGGAGGTTTTCACTCAAAATCTCACGATACATGGCCCCATTCATTCTTTCCTTTACACGGATCAGTCGTCCTGGTCCCCTTTGCAGAAAAACAGCCCAAAGCATGATGTTTCCACCCCCATGCTTCACAGTAGGTATGGTGTTCTTTGGATGCAACTCAGCATTCTTTGTCCTCCAAACACGACGAGTTGAGTTTTTAACCAAAAAGTTATATTTTGGTTTCATCTGACCATATGACATTCTCCCAATCCTCTTCTGGATCATCCAAATACACTCTAGCAAACTACAGACGGGTCTGGACATGTACTGGCTTAAGCAGGGGGACACGTCTGGCACTGCAGGATTTGAGTCCCTGGCGGCGTAGTGTGTTACTCATGGTAGGCTTTGTTACTTTGGTCCCAGCTCTCTGCAGGTCATTCACTAGGTCCCCCCGTTTGGTTCTGGGATTTTTGCTCACCGTTCTTGTGATCATTTTGACCCCACGGGGTGAGATCTTGCGTGGAGCCCCAGATCGAGGGAGATTATCAGTGGTCTTGTATGTCTTCCATTTCCTAATAAATGCTCCCACAGTTGATTTCTTCAAACCAAGCTGCTTACCTATTGCAGATTTAGTCTTCCCAGCCTGGTGCAGGTCTACAATTTTGTTTCTGGTGTCCTTTGACAGCTCTTTGGTCTTGGCCATAGTGGAGTTTGGAGTGTGACTGTTTGAGGTTGTGGACAGGTGTCTTTTATACTGATAACAAGTTCAAACAGGTGCCATTAATACAGGTAACGAGTGGAGGACAGAGGAGGCTGTTAAAGAAGAAGTTACAGGTCTGTGAGGGCAGAAATTTTTTTCCCAAACACCTTTAGTAATCATGAACTATGTAATTAGTCTCATTGTGTATTTACCAGTATCCTCAAAAAATTTTATGCAAAAACAGTTGTAGATTTTGTTACTATGCCGATAAAGTACAATATACATCGGACTGTGCCACCTAGGAAATGTGTGTGATGAACTTCTCAGATAATGAGTATCACGACACAGTATACACACCAGTTTTAGCTCAAACTAATGTTTTGATATGTGCAGGGGTACAGGGGATGTGGAGGCCTACCGATGGCCCTACCTCAGGTGTGAAGCTCTACGGTCTCCACCAACTTCTCCCCATCATCAACCACGTGGCAAGCATTGCGTCAGGGGCGGCACAGCAGAACAACGCATCGGTGAGTCTAGACCACATGCAAAACCTCTTCCCTTCCTTCCTCTCATTAAAGGATATCTTCTCTTTTTCAGCTTAACCTGAAAATAGTCTAAAACACATGTAATACATGGGACTTATATCGCGCTTTTCAAGGACCCAAAGTCAAAACAACATGAGACTAACCATAAATGTGAATAAAGAGAGGAGTGGGCTCAATGAAGGGAAAGCAGTGATGTATCAGTGTATGGGAGGGTAGGGTTGGGGTTCGGATACGAACCCGGTTTTAGGTTACCCGGGAGGGAGTTCTAGGAGCAACCCCTGGAGAAGGCCTTGTCGCCGAAGGCTCTGGAGCTTCGACCTGAGGATGAGAAGGTGGCCTGTTGTGGTGGAACGGAGTGCCCGTGTGGGTTGGGAGGGGAGAAAAGTCTGAGAGGTGGGTGGAGGTGGGTAAAGTGGTGAAGGGCTTTGTATGTCAGAAGGAGGATCCTCAGAACTCCCACCCTCATCAGACTGTGAGGCTTGCTAGAGACTTCCGGCCCATTCATCATCCACGATGGATACTACAGCTGGCTCCGGTTCATTGGGCCCTAAGATCCTCGAGGTGAAAGAAACGGCCGGATCTCCTCAGCCATTGCACCAGCTCTTGTCATTGGGCAGTTATATTGTAAGAAACATCTTGGTTCCTGGGGCAAAAACCCAAAAACCATGTGCTATACTGGAGCACGAGTACAGGACATTACAAGGCTGCTTCCGACCATTCTACGACAGATGCCGAGAGCTGACGCTGTCGTAGTCCATGTGGGGTCAAACGACTTCAGGAAGGCTAGCTCGGAACTTCTGAAAATTGATTTTAAAGATCAGATTTTAGCACTGAAATATTCCAAAAAGCAGCCAAATATTTCAGGTCCCGGGTACCATCGTTGGGCCGCGAGTGTGAAGGATTCAACAGGCTACTGGCATTACACACCTGGCTAAAAGATTACTGTACTCTGTTGAAATCACTTTTATAGATAACTTGACACCTTCTGGAAACAGAAGATGCTCTACAGGAATACCAGAGTCAATCCAAATCATCTTGGCTCCTGGACTCAGTCCCACGCATTTCGCGGCTGCATTGAGACAATGACTTAAAAATGACCAGCTCAGTTAAGCAATAAAAATCCCAGGAAAGTGCTAAAAATAGCCCACATTAACATACACTACCAGTCAAAAGTTTGGACACACCTACTCATTAAAGGGTTTTTTCTTTATTTTTACTATTTTTTACATTGTAGAATAGTAGTGAAGACATCAAAACTATGAAATAACACATATGAAATCATGTAGTAAATAAAAGTGTTGAACAAATCAACAAATATTTTATATTTGAGATTTCTTCAAATAGCCACCCTTTGCCTTGATGACAGCTTTGCACACTCTTGGCATTCCTTCAACCAGCTTCCGCTGGAATGCTTTTCCAACATTCTTGGAGTTCCCACATATGCTGAGCACTTGTTGGCTGCTTTTCCTTCACTCTGCGGTCCGACTCATCCCAAACCATCTCAATTTGGTTGAGGCCAGGTCAACTGATGCAGCACTCCATCACTCTCCTTCTTGGTAAAATAGCCCTTACACAGCCTGGAGGTGTGTTGGGTCATTGTCCTGTTGAAAAAACAAATCATAGTCCCAATATGCCCAAACCTGATGGGATGGCGTATCGATGTAGAATGCTGTGGTAGCCATGCTGGTTAAGTGTGCCTTGAATTGTAAATAAATCTCAGACCGTGTCACCAGCAAAGCACCATAACACCACCACCTCCATGCTTTACGGTGGGAAATACACATGCAGAGATCATCCGTTCATCCCACACCGTGTCTCACAAAGACACAGCGGTTGGAACCAAATATCTCAAATTTAGACTCCAGACCAAAGGACACATTTCCACTGGTCTAATGTCCATTGCTCGTGTTTCTTGGCCCAGCAGGTCTCTTCTTATTATTGGTGTCCTTTAGTAGTAGTTTATTTGCAGAAATTCGACCATGAAGGCCTGATTCACACAGTCCCTTCTGAACAGTTGATGTTGAGATGTCTGTTACTTGAAACTCTATGAAACATTTATTTGGGCTGCAATTTCAGAGGCTGGTAACTCTAATGAACTTATCCCCTGCAGCAGAGGTAACTGTCTTTTAGACCACTAAGCTATAGACTACTAAGTCAGTATCAGGATAATATGTGTGAAATGCTTGATTATTTACAGTGGGGAGAACAAGTATTTGATACACTGCCGATTTTGCAGGTTTTCCTACTTACAAAGCATGTAGAGGTCTGTAATTTTTATCATAGGTACACTTCAACTGTGAGAGACGGAATCTAAAACAAAAATCCAGAAAATCACATTGTATGATTTTTAAGTAATTCATTTGCATTTTATTGCATGACATAAGTATTTGATCACCTACCAACCAGTAAGAATTCCGGCTCTCACAGACCTGTTAGTTTTTCTTTAAGAAGCCCTCCTGTTCTCCACTCATTACCTGTATTAACTGCACCTGTTTGAACTTGTTACCTGTATAAAAGACACCTGTCCACACACTAAATCAAACAGACTCCAACCTCTCCACAATGGCCAAGACCAGAGAGCTGTGTAAGGACATCAGGGATAAAATTGTAGACCTGCACAAGGCTGGGATGGGCTACAGGACAATTTTTTATTATTTTTTATTTCACCTTTATTTAACCAGGTAAGCCAGTTGAGAACAAGTTCTCATTTACAACTGCGACCTGGCCAAGATAAAGCAAAGCAGTGCGATAAAAACAACAACACAGAGTTACATATGGGGTAAAAAAAACAAAGTCAAAAATACAACAGAAAATATATACAGTGGGGGAAAAAAAGTATTTAGTCAGCCACCAATTGTGCAAGTTCTCCCACTTAAAAAGATGAGAGAGACCTGTAATTTTCATCATAGGTACACGTCAACTATGACAGACAAAATGAGAAAAGAAAATCCAGAAATTCACATTTGCAAATTATGGTGGAAAATAAGTATTTGGTCAATAACAAAAGTTTCTCAATACTTTGTTATATACCCTTTGTTGGCAATGACACAGGTCAAACGTTTTCTGTAAGTCTTCACAAGGTTTTCACACACTGTTGCTGGTATTTTGGCCCATTCCTCCATGCAGATCTCCTCTAGAGCAGTGATGTTTTGGGGCTGTCGCTTGGCAACACGGACTTTCAACTCCCTCCAAAGATTTTCTATGGGGTTGAGATCTGGAGACTGGCTAGGCCACTCCAGGACCTTGAAATGCTTCTTACGAAGCCACTCCTTCGTTGCCCGGGCGGTGTGTTTGGGATCATTGTCATGCTGAAAGACCCAGCCACGTTTCATCTTCAATGCCCTTGCTGATAGAAGGAGGTTTTCACTCAAAATCTCACGATACATGGCCCCATTCATTCTTTCCTTTACACGGATCAGTCGTCCTGGTCCCTTTGCAGAAAAACAGCCCAAAGCATGATGTTTCCACCCCCATGCTTCACAGTAGGTATGGTGTTCTTTGGATGCAACTCAGCATTCTTTGTCCTCCAAACACGACGAGTTGAGTTTTTACCAAAAAGTTATATTTTGGTTTCATCTGACCATATGACATTCTCCCAATCCTCTTCTGGATCATCCAAATGCACTCTAGCAAACTACAGACGGGTCTGGACATGTACTGGCTTAAGCAGGGGGACACGTCTGGCACTGCAGGATTTGAGTCCCTGGCGGCGTAGTGTGTTACTCATGGTAGGCTTTGTTACTTTGGTCCCAGCTCTCTGCAGGTCATTCACTAGGTCCCCCCGTTTGGTTCTGGGATTTTTGCTCACCGTTCTTGTGATCATTTTGACCCCACGGGGTGAGATCTTGCGTGGAGCCCCAGATCGAGGGAGATTATCAGTGGTCTTGTATGTCTTCCATTTCCTAATAAATGCTCCCACAGTTGATTTCTTCAAACCAAGCTGCTTACCTATTGCAGATTTAGTCTTCCCAGCCTGGTGCAGGTCTACAATTTTGTTTCTGGTGTCCTTTGACAGCTCTTTGGTCTTGGCCATAGTGGAGTTTGGAGTGTGACTGTTTGAGGTTGTGGACAGGTGTCTTTTATACTGATAACAAGTTCAAACAGGTGCCATTAATACAGGTAACGAGTGGAGGACAGAGGAGGCTGTTAAAGAAGAAGTTACAGGTCTGTGAGAGGCAGAAATCTTCCTTGTTTGTAGGTGACCAAATACTTATTTTCCACCATAATTTGCAAATAAATTCATTAAAAATCCTAGAATGTGATTTTCTGGAAAAAAAATTCTCAATTTGTCTGTCATAGTTGACGTGTACCTATGATGAAAATTACAGGCCTCATCTTTTTAAGTGGGAGAACTTGCATAATTGGTGGCTGACTAAATACTTTTTTCCCCCACTGTATACAGTGTGTGCAAATGTAGCAAGTTATGGAGGTAAGGCAATAAATAGGCTATAGTGCAAAATAATTACAATAGTATTAACACTGGAATGCTAGATGTGCAAGAGATTATGTGCAAATAGAGATACTGGGGTGCAAAAGAGCAAAATAAATAACAATATAGGGATGAGGTAGTTGGGTGGGCTAATTTCAGATGGGCTGTGTACAGGTGCAGTGATCGGTAAGGTGCTCTGACAACTGATGCTTAAAGTTAGTGAGGGAGATAAGAGTCTCCAGCTTCAGAGATTTTTGCAATTCGTTCCAGTCATTGGCAGCAGAGAACTGGAAGGAATGGCGGCCAAAGGAGGTGTTGGCTTTGGGAATGACCAGTGAGATATACCTGCTGGAGCGCAGACTATGGGTGGGTGCTGCTATGGTGACCAATGAGCTAAGATAAGGCGGGGATTTGCCTAGCAGTGATTTATAGATGGCCTGGAGCCAGTGGGTTTGACGACGAACATGTAGTGAGGACCAGCCAACAAGAGCGTACAGGTCACAGTGGTGGGTAGTGTATGGGGCTTTGGAGACAAAACGGATGGCACTGTGATAGACTACATCCAATTTGCTGAGTAGAGTGTTGGAGGCTATTTTGTAAATGACATCGCCGAAGTCAAGGATCGGTAGGATAGTCAGTTTTACGAGGGCATGTTTGGCAGCATGAGTGAAGGAGGCTTTGTTGCGAAATAGGAAGCCGATTCTAGATTTAACTTTGGATTGGAGATTCTTTATGTGAGTCTGGAAGTTGAGTTTACAGTCTAACCAGACACCTAGATATTTGTAGTTGTCCACATACTCTAGGTCAGACCCGTCGAGAGTGGTGATTCTAGTCGGGTGGGCGGGTGCCAGCAGCGTTCGATTGAAAAGCATGCATTTAGTTTTACTAGTGTTTAAGAGCAGTTGGAGGCTACTGAAGGAGTGTTGTATGGCATTGAAGCTCGTTTGGAGGTTTGTTAACACAGTGTCCAATGAAGGGCCAGATGTATACAAAATGGTGTCGTCTGCGTAGAGGTGGATCTGAGAGTCACCAGCAGCAAGAGCGACATCATTGATATACACGGAGAAAAGTGTCGGCCCAAGAATTGAACCCTGTGGCACCCCCATAGAGACTGCCATAGGTCCAGACAACAGGCCCTCCGATTTGACACACTGAACTCTATCTGAGAAGTAGTTGGTGAACCAGGCGAGGCAGTCATTTGAGAAACCAAGGCTATTTAGTCTGCCAATAAGAATGCGGTGGTTGACAGTCGAAAGCCTTGGCCAGGTCGATGAAGACGGCTGCACAGTACTGTCTATTATCAATCGCGGTTATAATATCGTTTAGGACCTCGAGTGTGGCTGAAGTGCACCCATGACCAGCTCGGAAACCGGATTGCATAGCGGAGAAGGTACGGTGGTATTTCGAAATGGTCGGTGATCTGTTTGTTAACTTGGCTTTCAAATACTTTCGAAAGGCAGGGCAGTATGGATATAGGTCTGTAGCAGTTTGGATCTAGAGTGTCACCCCCTTTGAAGAGGGGGATGACCGCGGCAGCTTTCCAATCTCTGGGGATCTCAGACGTTATGAAAGAGAGGTTGAACAGACTAGTAATAGGGGTTGCGACAATTTCGGCGGCTAGTTTTAGAAAGAAAGGGTCCAGATTGTCTAGCCCAGCTGATTTGTAGGGGTCCAGATTTTGCAGCTCTTTCAAAACGTCAGCTGTCTGAATTTGTGTGAAGGAGAAGCGGGGGGGGCATGGGCAAGTTGCAGCGGAGGGTGCAGAGTTGGTGGCCGGGGTAGTGGTAGCCAGATGGAAAGCATGGCCAGCTGTAGCAAAATGCTTGTTGAAATTCTCGATTATTGTAGATTTATCGGTGGTGATAATGTTTCCTAGCCTCAGTGCAGTGGGCAACTTGGAGGAAGTGCTCTTATTCTCCATGGACTTTAGTGTCCCAAAACTTTTTGGAGTTAGTGCTACAGGATTCACATTTCTGTTTGAAAAAGTTAGCCTTTGCTTTCCTGACTGCTTGTGTATATTGATTCCTAACTTCCCTGAAAAGTTGCATATCGCGGGGGCTATTTGATGCTAATGCAGTACGCCACAGGATGTTTTTGTGCTGGTCAAGGGCAGTCAAGTCTGAGGAGAACCAGGGGCTATATCGGTTCTTAGTTCTGTATTTTTTGAATGGGGCATGTTTATTTAAGATTGAGAGGAAATTACTTTTAAGGAACAACCAGACATCCTCTACTGACGGAATGAGATCTATATCCATCCAGGATACCTGGGCCAGGTCAATTAGGAAGGCCTACTCGCTAAAGTGTTTTAGGGAGAGTTTGACAGTGATAAGGGGTGGTCGTTTGACCGCGGACCCGTTACGGACGCAGGCAATAAGGCAGTGATCGCTGAGATCCTGGTTGAAGACAGCTGAGGTGTATTTAGAGGGTGTGTTAGTCAGGATGATATCTATGAGGGTACCCATGTTTACGGATTTAGGGTTGTACCTGGTAGGTTCGTTGATAATTTGCATGAGGTTGAGGGCATCTAGTTTGGATTGTAGGATGGCCGGGGTATTAAGCATATCCCAATTTAGGTCACCAAGCAGTACGAACTCTGAGGATAAATGGGGGGCAATCAATTCACATATGGTGTCCAGGGCACAGCTGGGGGCTGAGGGGGGTCTGTAGCAAGCGGCAACAGTGAGAGACTTATTTCTGGAAAGGTGGATTTTTAGAAGTAGAAGCTCAAACTGTTTGGGCACAGACCTGGATAGTATGATAGAGCTCTGCAGGCTATCTCTACAGTAGATTGCAACTCCACCCCCTTTGGCAGTTCTATCTAGACGGAAAATGTTATAGTTGGGGATGGAAATTTCAGAATTTTTGGTGGCCTTCCTGAGCCAGGATTCAGACACTGCTAGAACATCAGGGTTGGCGGAGTGTGCTAACGCAGTGAATAACTCAAACTTAGGAAGTAGACTTCTGATATTTACGTGCAAGAAACCAAGACTTTTGCGATTACAGAAGTCAGCAAATGATAGCGCCTGGGGAGTAGGAGTGATACTGAGGGCTGCAGGGCCTGGGTTAGCCTCTACATCACCAGAGGAACAGAGGAGGACTAGAATAAGGATACGGCTAAAGGCTTTAAGAACTGGTCTTCTAGTGCGTTGGGTACATAGAATAAAGCGGGCAGATTTCCGGGTGTTGTAGAAAAGATTCAGGGCATTATGTACAGACAAGGATATGAGTAAAGTGGAGGTAAACCTAAGCGTTGGGTAACAATGAAAGAGATAGTATCACTAGAGGCACCAATTGAGTCGGTCTCCGCGTGTATGGGGGGTGGGACAAATGAGCTATCTAAGGCAGGTTTAGCTGGGCTGGGGGATCTACAGTGAAATAGTACAATTAGAAATAACCGAAAGAACAATAAGCTAACCATGTTTGGGCTGAGGCTAAACATAAACAGGATGTAGTACCGTAAAAAGGAACAGTCCAGCAGACATCAGCTGTATAGCTGAGTTATCATAAGGTCCGGTGAACAGCAGTAGGATAGTTCGGAGGCTGCTAAAGCACTAGCGAGTAAGAGGCCACGGCTAGCTTGTGCTAGCGGGCCGGGCTAGCAGATGGAATTTTGGTGGTCGACGTCGTAACCACATCAGACGATTTCGCCGGCAGACCAGTCGTGTAGGATCGGCGGGGCTCCGTGTCAACACTAGGTGGTCCCGTCCGGTTGACAGAGAGGTAGATAGCCGGGAGATGGGCCTAGCTCAGGATGATTAGCCAGACCACAGCGCTATATAGTTGCAGCTAGCTGGTATCGATGAATCCGGAGTTAAAGGTCCAGTGATTCAGTGATTCCGGCAGAAAAACTGATATGTTCTGGGTCGATAACGCGCTGTGCAGACTGGCCGAATATCCGGTGATTAATATCCAGTGATTAAATTAATCCCGCAGAAAAAAAAAATCCAATGTTCTGGGTGAAATACCGCTAACTGTGGCTAATAGCAAGTAGCTAGTTAGCTGGCTAGCTAGTTTCAACTGGAGATTCTAGATAAAAGGTAAGTCAATAATAGAATCCGTTCCACATTGAGTGAGTCGGGTTGCAGGAAAGTATATTTTGTAGAAGGATGAAAAGTCTGATAGGGAAATATGTACGAAAAATACAACAAAAACAGGGTATTTACAGGCTATTTACAGACACACGACAAAAACAGAACTGCACTACTTCGCCATCTTGCATTTGACAATAGGCAAGCAGCTTGGTGAGAAGGCAACAACTGTTGGCGAAATTATTAGAAAATGGAAGAAGTTCAAGATGACGGTCAATCACCCTCGGTCTGGGGCTCCATGCAAGATCTCACCTCGTGGGGCATCAATGATCATGAGGAAGGTGAGGGATCAGCCCAGAACTACACGGCAGGACCTGGTCAATGACCTGAAGAGAGCTGGGACCACAGTCTCAAAGAAAACCATTAGTAACACACTACGCCGTCATGGATTAAAATCCTGCAGCGCACGCAAGGTCCCCCTGCTCAAGCCAGTGCATGTCCAGGCCCGTCTGAAGTTTGCCAATGACCATCTGGATGATCCAGAGGAGGAATGGAAGAAGGTCATGTGGTCTGATGAGACAAAATAGAGCTTTTTGGTCTAAACTCCACTCGCCGTGTTTGGAGGAAGAAGAAGGATGAGTACAACCCCAAGAACACCATCCCAACCATGAAGCATGGAGGTGGAAACATCATTCTTTGGGGATGCTTTTCTGCAAAGGGGACAGGACGACTGCACCGTATTGAGGGGAGGATGGATGGGGCCATGTATCACGAGATCTTGGCCAACAACCTCCTTCCCTCAGTAAGAGCATTGAAGATGGGGCGTGGCTGGGTCTTCCAGCATGACAACGACCCGAAACACACAGCCAGGGCAACTAAGGAGTGGCTCCGTAAGAAGCATCTCAAGGTCCTGGAGTGGCCTAGCCAGTCTCCAGACCTGAACCCAATAGAAAATCTTTGGAGGGAGCTGAAAGTCCGTATTGCCCAGCGACAGCCCCGAAACCGGAAGGATCTGGAGAAGGTCTGTATGGAGGAGTGGGCCAAAATCCCTGCTGCAGTGTGTGCAAACCTGGTCAAGACCTACAGGAAACGTATGATCTCTGTAATTGCAAACAAAGGTTTCTGTACCAAATATTAAGTTCTGCTTTTCTGATGTATCAAATACTTATGTCATGCAATAAAATGCAAATTAATTACTTAAAAATCATACAATGTGATTTTCAGGATTTTTAGATTCCGTCTCTCACAGTTGAAGTGTACCTATGATAAAATTACAGACCTCTACATGCTTTGTAAGTAGGAAAACCTGCAAAATCGGCAGTGCATCAAATACTTGTTCTCCCCACTGTATGTGATATCAACAGAGGTATATTTTCTGCGCAATTTCAATATTGACTGGCTTTCATCAAGCTGCCCACTCAAGAAAAAGCTTAAAACTGTAACCAGTGCCTGCAACCTGGTTCAGGTTATCAGTCAACCTACCAGGGTAGTTACAAACAGCACAGGAATGAAATGTATTGATCACATATTTACTAATGCTGCAGAAATTTGCTTTAAAGCAGTATCCATATCCATCGGATGTAGTGATCAAAATATGTGACTCGTTTCAGGAAACTAGGCGTATGTCGCACATCACTACTTCACAGGAGAGCCATTTGAACGTAAACATGTGTTTTTTATCAATTCATTTTTTGGCAGAAATGCCTTCTGGAACATGTGAACTTTCATGTGCCTTAATAAAAAGTGTATTCCATCCATAAATACGAATAAAATGGTTAAATTACGAGCCTAGTTGGCTTAGCCACGGAAAAAGACAGGAACCTTCCTGCTAGCCATGATTGGTTGAGATAATGGATGGGCTGGACATGCATGGAGATGAGTTTGGATTGGTCTGCTATGTAATGTGCTTCTGTCTATAACGTGAGCTGTTCAGTATGTGTTGACAGTCATTTCTATCGCGCTGTTTTTGAAAGATAGAACGTTAGCCATCGAGAACTACAAAAGTTTGCTTCTTTTCTCAACAACATTGATGCCCTGAATTTAGCAGGCGCGATCGACAGATCAGTTGGAAAAAGTGATGGGCTACTTTCTGCACATGCCACGGTCAGTGTGATCCGGAGTGACTTGACGCAACGCTGGCCAAACAAGATGTAGCTACAAACAAAACGGAGTTAAATGGTTTGAGTCTGCCATGAAGCATTCATCCATTTATACGTGTAAGAGTCTAGCTACATTTTCAGATAGAAATTTGTCAGAAAGTTGTTTTTATTGCAAGTCAAAACGTACTGTTAGTAATAGGCTGGGCCTAATGTAGTGTGTAAAAGTAGAGACTCCGAGCTAGAAAATTGAATATCATACACTACAGTTGAGGAACAATGGGAAAGTAATTCTGCTTTGAAAGTTGATAAACTTCTAACAATTTTTGAGAAAATGGCCTTTGAATGTTTTGGTACACCTACTGGAGAGCTCTTCTTTGTATTTGCCAAGGCAGCAGCTACTCTTCCTGGGGTCCAAACATATTAAAGCACTTACATTACAAATAAAACAAAAAAAGATAAAACAGTACATCATATAACATGAGTGAGGACAGCCAACAAGAGCGTACAGGTCACAGTGGTGGGTAGTGTATGGGGCTTTTGGAGACAAAACGGATGGCACTGTGATAGACTACATCCAATTTGCTGAGTAGAGTGTTGGAGGCTATTTTGTAAATGACATCGCCGAAGTCAAGGATCGGTAGGATAGTCAGTTTTTACGAGGGCATGTTTGGCAGCATGAGTGAAGGAGGCTTTGTTGCGAAATAGGAAGCCGATTCTAGATTTAACTTTGGATTGGAGATTCTTTATGTGAGTCTGGAAGTTGAGTTTACAGTCTAACCAGACACCTAGATATTTGTAGTTGTCCACATACTCTAGGTCAGGACCCGTCGAGAGTGGTGATTCTAGTCGGGTGGGCGGGTGCCAGCAGCGTTCGATTGAAAAGCATGCATTTAGTTTTACTAGTGTTTAAGAGCAGTTGGAGGCTACTGAAGGAGTGTTGTATGGCATTGAAGCTCGTTTGGAGGTTTTGTTAACACAGTGTCCAATGAAGGGCCAGATGTATACAAAATGGTGTCGTCTGCGTAGAGGTGGATCTGAGAGTCACCAGCAGCAAGAGCGACATCATTGATATACACGGAGAAAAGTGTCGGCCCAAGAATTGAACCCTGTGGCACCCCCATAGAGACTGCCATAGGTCCAGACAACAGGCCCTCCGATTTGACACACTGAACTCTATCTGAGAAGTAGTTGGTGAACCAGGCGAGGCAGTCATTTGAGAAAACCAAGGCTATTTAGTCTGCCAATAAGAATGCGGTGGTTGACAGTCGAAAGCCTTGGCCAGGTCGATGAAGACGGCTGCACAGTACTGTCTATTATCAATCGCGGTTATAATATCGTTTAGGACCTCGAGTGTGGCTGAAGTGCACCCATGACCAGCTCGGAAACCGGATTGCATAGCGGAGAAGGTACGGTGGTATTTCGAAATGGTCGGTGATCTGTTTGTTAACTTGGCTTTCAAATACTTTCGAAAGGCAGGGCAGTATGGATATAGGTCTGTAGCAGTTTGGATCTAGAGTGTCACCCCCTTTGAAGAGGGGGATGACCGCGGCAGCTTTCCAATCTCTGGGGATCTCAGACGTTATGAAAGAGAGGTTGAACAGACTAGTAATAGGGGTTGCGACAATTTCGGCGGCTAGTTTTAGAAAGAAAGGGTCCAGATTGTCTAGCCCAGCTGATTTGTAGGGGTCCAGATTTTGCAGCTCTTTCAAAACGTCAGCTGTCTGAATTTGTGTGAAGGAGAAGCGGGGGGGGGCATGGGCAAGTTGCAGCGGAGGGTGCAGAGTTGGTGGCCGGGGTAGTGGTAGCCAGATGGAAAGCATGGCCAGCTGTAGCAAAATGCTTGTTGAAATTCTCGATTATTGTAGATTTATCGGTGGTGATAATGTTTCCTAGCCTCAGTGCAGTGGGCAACTTGGAGGAAGTGCTCTTATTCTCCATGGACTTTAGTGTCCCAAAACTTTTTGGAGTTAGTGCTACAGGATTCACATTTCTGTTTGAAAAAGTTAGCCTTTGCTTTCCTGACTGCTTGTGTATATTGATTCCTAACTTCCCTGAAAAGTTGCATATCGCGGGGGCTATTTGATGCTAATGCAGTACGCCACAGGATGTTTTTGTGCTGGTCAAGGGCAGTCAAGTCTGAGGAGAACCAGGGGCTATATCGGTTCTTAGTTCTGTATTTTTTGAATGGGGCATGTTTATTTAAGATTGAGAGGAAATTACTTTTAAGGAACAACCAGACATCCTCTACTGACGGAATGAGATCTATATCCATCCAGGATACCTGGGCCAGGTCAATTAGGAAGGCCTACTCGCTAAAGTGTTTTAGGGAGAGTTTGACAGTGATAAGGGGTGGTCGTTTGACCGCGGACCCGTTACGGACGCAGGCAATAAGGCAGTGATCGCTGAGATCCTGGTTGAAGACAGCTGAGGTGTATTTAGAGGGTGTGTTAGTCAGGATGATATCTATGAGGGTACCCATGTTTACGGATTTAGGGTTGTACCTGGTAGGTTCGTTGATAATTTGCATGAGGTTGAGGGCATCTAGTTTGGATTGTAGGATGGCCGGGGTATTAAGCATATCCCAATTTAGGTCACCAAGCAGTACGAACTCTGAGGATAAATGGGGGGCAATCAATTCACATATGGTGTCCAGGGCACAGCTGGGGGCTGAGGGGGGTCTGTAGCAAGCGGCAACAGTGAGAGACTTATTTCTGGAAAGGTGGATTTTTAGAAGTAGAAGCTCAAACTGTTTGGGCACAGACCTGGATAGTATGATAGAGCTCTGCAGGCTATCTCTACAGTAGATTGCAACTCCACCCCCTTTGGCAGTTCTATCTAGACGGAAAATGTTATAGTTGGGGATGGAAATTTCAGAATTTTTGGTGGCCTTCCTGAGCCAGGATTCAGACACTGCTAGAACATCAGGGTTGGCGGAGTGTGCTAACGCAGTGAATAACTCAAACTTAGGAAGTAGACTTCTGATATTTACGTGCAAGAAACCAAGACTTTTGCGATTACAGAAGTCAGCAAATGATAGCGCCTGGGGAGTAGGAGTGATACTGAGGGCTGCAGGGCCTGGGTTAGCCTCTACATCACCAGAGGAACAGAGGAGGACTAGAATAAGGATACGGCTAAAGGCTTTAAGAACTGGTCTTCTAGTGCGTTGGGTACATAGAATAAAGCGGGCAGATTTCCGGGTGTTGTAGAAAAGATTCAGGGCATTATGTACAGACAAGGATATGAGTAAAGTGGAGGTAAACCTAAGCGTTGGGTAACAATGAAAGAGATAGTATCACTAGAGGCACCAATTGAGTCGGTCTCCGCGTGTATGGGGGGTGGGACAAATGAGCTATCTAAGGCAGGTTTAGCTGGGCTGGGGGATCTACAGTGAAATAGTACAATTAGAAATAACCGAAAGAACAATAAGCTAACCATGTTTGGGCTGAGGCTAAACATAAACAGGATGTAGTACCGTAAAAAGGAACAGTCCAGCAGACATCAGCTGTATAGCTGAGTTATCATAAGGTCCGGTGAACAGCAGTAGGATAGTTCGGAGGCTGCTAAAGCACTAGCGAGTAAGAGGCCACGGCTAGCTTGTGCTAGCGGGCCGGGCTAGCAGATGGAATTTTGGTGGTCGACGTCGTAACCACATCAGACGATTTCGCCGGCAGACCAGTCGTGTAGGATCGGCGGGGCTCCGTGTCAACACTAGGTGGTCCCGTCCGGTTGACAGAGAGGTAGATAGCCGGGAGATGGGCCTAGCTCAGGATGATTAGCCAGACCACAGCGCTATATAGTTGCAGCTAGCTGGTATCGATGAATCCGGAGTTAAAGGTCCAGTGATTCAGTGATTCCGGCAGAAAAACTGATATGTTCTGGGTCGATAACGCGCTGTGCAGACTGGCCGAATATCCGGTGATTAATATCCAGTGATTAAATTAATCCCGCAGAAAAAAAAAATCCAATGTTCTGGGTGAAATACCGCTAACTGTGGCTAATAGCAAGTAGCTAGTTAGCTGGCTAGCTAGTTTCAACTGGAGATTCTAGATAAAAGGTAAGTCAATAATAGAATCCGTTCCACATTGAGTGAGTCGGGTTGCAGGAAAGTATATTTTGTAGAAGGATGAAAAGTCTGATAGGGAAATATGTACGAAAAATACAACAAAAACAGGGTATTTACAGGCTATTTACAGACACACGACAAAAACAGAACTGCACTACTTCGCCATCTTGCATTTGACAATAGGCAAGCAGCTTGGTGAGAAGGCAACAACTGTTGGCGAAATTATTAGAAAATGGAAGAAGTTCAAGATGACGGTCAATCACCCTCGGTCTGGGGCTCCATGCAAGATCTCACCTCGTGGGGCATCAATGATCATGAGGAAGGTGAGGGATCAGCCCAGAACTACACGGCAGGACCTGGTCAATGACCTGAAGAGAGCTGGGACCACAGTCTCAAAGAAAACCATTAGTAACACACTACGCCGTCATGGATTAAAATCCTGCAGCGCACGCAAGGTCCCCCTGCTCAAGCCAGTGCATGTCCAGGCCCGTCTGAAGTTTGCCAATGACCATCTGGATGATCCAGAGGAGGAATGGAAGAAGGTCATGTGGTCTGATGAGACAAAAATAGAGCTTTTTGGTCTAAACTCCACTCGCCGTGTTTGGAGGAAGAAGAAGGATGAGTACAACCCCAAGAACACCATCCCAACCATGAAGCATGGAGGTGGAAACATCATTCTTTGGGGATGCTTTTCTGCAAAGGGGACAGGACGACTGCACCGTATTGAGGGGAGGATGGATGGGGCCATGTATCACGAGATCTTGGCCAACAACCTCCTTCCCTCAGTAAGAGCATTGAAGATGGGGCGTGGCTGGGTCTTCCAGCATGACAACGACCCGAAACACACAGCCAGGGCAACTAAGGAGTGGCTCCGTAAGAAGCATCTCAAGGTCCTGGAGTGGCCTAGCCAGTCTCCAGACCTGAACCCAATAGAAAATCTTTGGAGGGAGCTGAAAGTCCGTATTGCCCAGCGACAGCCCCGAAACCGGAAGGATCTGGAGAAGGTCTGTATGGAGGAGTGGGCCAAAATCCCTGCTGCAGTGTGTGCAAACCTGGTCAAGACCTACAGGAAACGTATGATCTCTGTAATTGCAAACAAAGGTTTCTGTACCAAATATTAAGTTCTGCTTTTCTGATGTATCAAATACTTATGTCATGCAATAAAATGCAAATTAATTACTTAAAAATCATACAATGTGATTTTCAGGATTTTTAGATTCCGTCTCTCACAGTTGAAGTGTACCTATGATAAAAATTACAGACCTCTACATGCTTTGTAAGTAGGAAAACCTGCAAAATCGGCAGTGCATCAAATACTTGTTCTCCCCACTGTATGTGATATCAACAGAGGTATATTTTCTGCGCAATTTCAATATTGACTGGCTTTCATCAAGCTGCCCACTCAAGAAAAAGCTTAAAACTGTAACCAGTGCCTGCAACCTGGTTCAGGTTATCAGTCAACCTACCAGGGTAGTTACAAACAGCACAGGAATGAAATGTATTGATCACATATTTACTAATGCTGCAGAAATTTGCTTTAAAGCAGTATCCATATCCATCGGATGTAGTGATCAAAATATGTGACTCGTTTCAGGAAACTAGGCGTATGTCGCACATCACTACTTCACAGGAGAGCCATTTGAACGTAAACATGTGTTTTTTATCAATTCATTTTTTGGCAGAAATGCCTTCTGGAACATGTGAACTTTCATGTGCCTTAATAAAAAGTGTATTCCATCCATAAATACGAATAAAATGGTTAAATTACGAGCCTAGTTGGCTTAGCCACGGAAAAAGACAGGAACCTTCCTGCTAGCCATGATTGGTTGAGATAATGGATGGGCTGGACATGCATGGAGATGAGTTTGGATTGGTCTGCTATGTAATGTGCTTCTGTCTATAACGTGAGCTGTTCAGTATGTGTTGACAGTCATTTCTATCGCGCTGTTTTTGAAAGATAGAACGTTAGCCATCGAGAACTACAAAAGTTTGCTTCTTTTCTCAACAACATTGATGCCCTGAATTTAGCAGGCGCGATCGACAGATCAGTTGGAAAAAGTGATGGGCTACTTTCTGCACATGCCACGGTCAGTGTGATCCGGAGTGACTTGACGCAACGCTGGCCAAACAAGATGTAGCTACAAACAAAACGGAGTTAAATGGTTTGAGTCTGCCATGAAGCATTCATCCATTTATACGTGTAAGAGTCTAGCTACATTTTCAGATAGAAATTTGTCAGAAAGTTGTTTTTATTGCAAGTCAAAACGTACTGTTAGTAATAGGCTGGGCCTAATGTAGTGTGTAAAAGTAGAGACTCCGAGCTAGAAAATTGAATATCATACACTACAGTTGAGGAACAATGGGAAAGTAATTCTGCTTTGAAAGTTGATAAACTTCTAACAATTTTTGAGAAAATGGCCTTTGAATGTTTTGGTACACCTACTGGAGAGCTCTTCTTTGTATTTGCCAAGGCAGCAGCTACTCTTCCTGGGGTCCAAACATATTAAAGCACTTACATTACAAATAAAACAAAAAAGATAAAACAGTACATCATATAACATTATTACACCACTACAAATCTACAATACAAAATGTTTAATACCACCATACAACAATATCACAATGTATGCGTGTGTGTCTCTTCACAGTCCCCACTATTCCATAAGGTGTATTTTTACCTTTAAAAAAAGATCAGTTACCTGATGTGGAATAGAGTTCCATGTAGTCATGGCTCTGTAGTACTGTGCGCCTCCCATAATCTGTTCTGGACTTGGGGACTGTGAAGAGATCTCTGGTGGCATGTCTTGTGGGGTATGCATGGGTGTCAGTATTTTAAACAGACAGCTCGGTACATTCAGCTTGTCAACACCTCTTACAAAAACAAGTAGTGATGAAGTCCATCTCTCTTCCACTTTGAGCCATGAGAGATAGACATGCATGTCATTGATGTTAGCTCTGTGTACTTTTAAGGGTCAGCCGTGCTGCCCTGTTCTGAGCCAACTGCAATTTTCCCAAGTCCCTCTTTGTGGCACCTGACCACACTACTGAACAGTAGTATAGGTGCAACAAAACTAGGGTCTGTAGGACCTGCATTGTTGATAGTGTTGTAAAGAAGGCAGAGGAGCACTTTATTATGTACAGACTTCTCCCCATCTTAGCTACTGTTGTATCAAAATGTTTTGACCATGACTGTTTACAATCCAGGGTTACTCCAAGCAGTTTAGTCACCTCAACTTGCTCTATTTCCACATTTATTCATTACGAGATGTAGTTGCGGATTAGTGTTTTAGTGAATGATTTGTCCCAAATACAATGCTTTATAGTTTTGGAAATATTTAGGACTAACCTATTCCTTGCTACCCGTTCTGAAACTAACTACAGCTCTTTGTTAAGTGTTGCAGTTATTTCAGTTGCTGTAGTATCTGACGTGTATAGTGTTGAGTCGTCCGCATACATAGACACACTGGTTTTACTCAAAGCCAGTGGCATGTCGTTAGTAAAGATGGAAAAAAGTAAGGGGCCTAAACAGCTACCCTGGGGAATTCCTGATTCTACCTGGATTATGTTTGAGAGGCTTACATTAAAGAACACCCTCTGTGTTCTGTTAGACAAGTAACTCTTTATCCACATTATAGCAGGGGGTGTAAAGCCATAACAAATACGTTTTTCCAGCAGCAGACTATGATCGATAATGTCAAAAGCTGCACTGAAGTCTAACAAGACAACCCCCACAATCTTTTTATCATCCATTTCTCTCAGCCAATCAGTCATTTTTGTAAGGGCTGTGCTAGTTGAGTGTCCTTCCTTATAAGCGTGCTGAAAGTCTGTTGTCAGTTTTACTGTAAAATAGCATTGTATCTGGTCAAACACAATTTTTCCAGAAGTTTACAATGGGTTGTTAACAAGCTGATTGGTCGGCTATTTGAGCCAGTAAAGGGAACTTTACTATTCTTGGGTAGCGGAATGACTTTAGCTTCCCTCCAGGCCCAAGGGCACACACTTTCTAGTAGGCTTAAATTGAAGATATGGCAAATAGGAGTGGCGTTATCGTCCACTATTATCCTCAGTAATTTTCCATCCAAGTTGTCAGACCCCGGTGGCTTGTCATTGTTGACAGGCAACAATACATTTTTCACCTCTGCCACACGCACTTTACGGAATTCAAAATGACAATGCTCTTCTTTCATAATTTGAACAGATATACAGTGAGGGGAAAAAAGTATTTGATCCCCTGCTGATTTTGTACGTTTGGCCACTGACAAAGACATGATCAGTCTAGGGGTGATGATATTAATTAATAGTAATTTCGATCCGAATGTGCAAATTGTCCAAATAGATACGCAAGGTAGATGGATTATTTTAAACATGTTATTGGACCATAAACAGATATGGCTCATTAACCTTTACGGACCAAATAATGATGATCCACAATTCTTTGACAATATATATAATAAATTATCAACCCTGCAAGCAATTCAAGACAATATTATTATGGTGGGGGATTATAATACTGTTTTAAATAGCTCAATGGACCGTAAAGGAAATCACACCACAAACAATCACCCACATGCTCTTAAGGAAATTGTGAATGTCATGGATACATTAGAACTAGTAGATATATGGAGGCTTAAATATACTGATCTAGTGAGATATACATGGCGGAGACTGAATCAAGCTAGTCGTCTTGACTTCTTTCTTATCTCATTCTCGTTGGCACCAAAAGTTTTAAAAAAGTGTTGATAGGGGACAGAATGCGGTCGGAACATTATATAATAGGCATATACATTACTCTTACTGAATTTCCACGTGGGCGAGGATATTGGAAATTTAATCAAAGCTTATTGGATAATAATTTATTTATAATTAGAACAAAGGAATTTATAACTGACTTTTTCCAACATAACATAGGTACAGGGAATCCCCTTATTGTATGGGACACCTTTAAATGTGCCTTTAGAGGCCATGCAATTCAGTACTCATCTCGAAAACAAAAGCAATTTAGGTCAAAAGAGTTTATACTAAGAAAGGAAATAGAAAGTCTAACAGAACAGATAGATGGCAATAAAAACAGTAACATAGAGGCTCAGAATAAATTAGAGGAAAAACAAAAAGAAATGGAGAAACTTATTCAAGAAAGATCAAGTGTAATATATTTAAAAAATAAAGCAAAGTGGATGGAATATGGGGGGAAATGCACAAAATTCTTTTTTAATCTTCAACATAGGAATGCTACCAAAAATAACTTAATTAAACTGGTTACAATTGACGGAGTCACCCATAATTCACCAAATGATATTTTGAAGGAAGAAACAAAGTACTTTAAGCATATGTTTTCTTTTCAGTCGCCTACATCTCCTCTAACTGAAGCTAATTGTAGAGATTTATTTTCTATTGATAATGTCAAATTAACAGCCACACAGAAAGACTCATGTGAAGGTGAAATTACAGAGGAGGAACTTCTGGATGCAGTTAAAGACTTTAAGTCCGGGAAAACTCCAGGGTTGGATGGCATACCAGTCGAGGTATACCAAACCTTTTTTGATATACTAAGAGGACCGTTATTAGCATGTTTTAACCACTCCTATGTAAATGGTAGATTATCTGACACTCAAGAAGAAGGTCTGATCTCATTATTACTGAAACAGGATACAAGTGGAAAATATAAAGATCCAGTCCATTTACAAAATTGGAGGCCCTTTACACTTCAGTGTTGTGATGCAAAAATCCTAGCAAAATGTATAGCGCATAGAATTAAAAAGGTATTGGCAGATATTATTCATTCTAATCGACAGGTTTTTTACATGGAAGATACATTGGAGATAATATAAGGCAAGTATTGGAAACAATAGAACACTATGGAATTTATGGGAAACCAGGCCTGCTATTCATAGCAGAATTCGAAAAGGCATTTGATAAAGTTCGACTGGGGTTTATATATAAATATATAATAATAATTTCAATTTTGGAGAATCTCTTTATAAAATGGGTCAAAATCATGTATAGTAACCCTAGGTGTAAAATAGTAAATAATGGCTATTTCTCAGAAAGTTTTAAACTGTCAAGAGGATTGAAACAAGGTTGTCCAGTATCGGCATATCTATTTATTGTGGCCATCGAGATGTTAGCTATTAAATTCAGATCCAATAATAATATCAGAGGATTAGAAATCCAGGGCTTAAAAACAAAGGTGTTATTGTACGCTGATGATTAATTTTTTCTTTTAAATCCACAACTAGAATCTCTCCACAGCCTCATAGAGGATCTAGATACATTTTCTAACCTCTCTGGATTACAACCAAATTATGACAAATGTACTATATTACGTATTGGATCACTAAAAAATAAAAAAAATTACATTACCATGTAGTTTACCAATAAAATGGTCTGATGGTGATGTGGATATACTCTGAATACATATCCCAAAGGAAATAAATGATCTCACTTCAATACATTTTAATAGAAAGTTAGCAAAAATAGATAAGATCTTACTACCATGGAAAGGAAAATACCTGTCAATTTGTGGAAAAATCACCCTGATTAACTCTGTTAGTATTATCCCAGTTTACCTATTTGCTTATGGTCTTGCCTACGCCTAGCGAACAGTTTTTTAAATTATATGAGAAAAAAATATATTTTATTTGGAACGGCAAGCCAGACAAAATTAAAAGGGCATATTTATATAATGAATATGAATTCGGAGGACAGAAATTATTAAATATTAAAGCATTAGACCTATCACTAAAATGCTTTATTCAGATTACAACAACTCATTTGCAGTTATTTGAAAAGGAAATCATCTCCCAAATATCACTATTTCTAAAACAAGCCACAGAAAGTTGGTTGCAATTTCAATTTAATCCTCCAGAAAAGACAGAACAAATAATGCAACAAATATTGTGGTTAAATTCAAATATACTAATTGACAAAAAACCTTTATTTTTTGACAGAATGTTTAAAAAAGGTATAATCTTCGTAAATGATATCATTGGTAGGACTGGTGGAGTAATGTCGCACATGCAGCTAACAAACACATATGGAAATGTCTACTCTACCCAAAATTATAACCAAATAATTGCAGCCTTAACGCAAAAGTGGAAGAGGAAAGTGGAAGGGGGAGAAAGTAAGGAACTTGTCTGTCGGCCTTGCATTAAAGAACATCATTGGTTAAGGAAAACTGTGATAAATAAAAATGTATGTCAGTTTCACTTAAGGACCAAAGGATTGACAGCCGTCCCATATAGATTGCAAAATAGTTGGGAAGAGATTTTTTACGTACCGATCCCATGGCATAGTGTTTATGAACTGACACGCAAAACGACACCGGATTCAAAAATTTGAATCTTTCATTTTAAATTATTATATAAAATTCTTGCTACTAATATAATGTTATTTATATGGGGGATACAATCTTCCCAGCTCTGCAGATTTTGCTGTGAAGAGACAGAATCATTAGATCATTTGTTTTTGTTCTGTCTATTTGTAGCTTGTTTTTGGACACAGGTCCAGGAATGGCTAAAGGATTGCAATATTTACCTGGAGCTAACCTTGCAGATAGCATTACTGGGTGATCTGAAAAGTCATAGTCAATCGATCAATAATATATAAAAATACTTTTAGCAAAAAATGTTTATTTTTAATTCACAATCTGTAGAAGCAATGAGAATAGAAAGGTTCAGAACTTTTGTAAAACATCACAGTACGGTTGAAATATATATGGCAAATAGAAATCCTATATGGATGGTGTTAAGAGATAGATGGAAGGTATTGAATAGAGTTGAAGGATGGGACTAATAACAAATAACAACAAATAATAACAAAGATAGCTAATAATGTAAGAATACTGTGTCCATAATGAGTATATAGGTTGTATGTTGGGAGCTTTTGGGAAAGAGCACAGTTAGAAAGATATGGCATATAGAAGCAAACCGGATGGACATCATGAAAATGATCGGAGAGGTTGAGAGTAGAAGAAGTTCAGGAGCAAAAAAAAAAAAAAAGTTGTGTATATATATGTATATATATATATATATATATATATATATATATATATATATATATATATATATATATATATATATATATATATATATATATATATATATATATATATAATAGAATTATTGTAAAATTAACTGTGTCCATAAGGTGTAGATAGTAAGTATAGACCGGAAGTAGAGCCCTGGGCATTGTTGTTCACTAATTTACTCCAAGTAGGGAAAGGATGGTGGGGTTGAAAAGTAATGAAGGGGAGTATATATATAAAAAACATGGGGGATTGGAAGTGATGCAGACAATTACATTGATAGAAGATACAATCTATCTGCAATATTAAGCTGATCCATCCCCTACCCTAAAAAAAAATAATAAAAAAGGAAAAAAAAGACATGATCAGTCTATCATTTTAATGGTAGGTTTATTTGAACAGTGAAAGAGAGAATAACAACAAAAAAATCCAGAAAAACGCATGTCAAAAATGTTATAAATTGATTTGCATTTTAATGAGGGAAATAAGTATTTGACCCCTCTGCAAAACATGACTTAGTACTTGGTGGCAAAACCCTTGTTGGCAATCACAGAGGTCAGATGTTTCTTGTAGTTGGCCACCAGGTTTGCACACATCTCAGGAGGGATTTTGTCCCACTCCTCTTTGCAGATCTTCTCCAAGTCATTAAGGTTCGAGGCTGACGTTTGGCAACTCAAACCTTCAGCTCCCTCCACAGATTTTCTATGGGTTTAATGTCTGGAGACTGGCTAGGCCACTCCAGGACCTTAATGTGCTTCTTCTTGAGCCACTCCTTTGTTGCCTTGGCCGTGTGTTTTGGGTCATTGTCATGCTGGAATACCCATCCATGACCCATTTTCAATGCCCTGGCTGAGGGAAGGAGGTTCTCACCCAAGATTTGACGGTACATGGCCCCGTCCATCGTCCCTTTTGATGCGGTGAAGTTGTCCTGTCCTCTTAGCAGAAAAACACCCCCAAAGCATCATGTTTCCACCTCCATGTTTGACGGTGGGGATGGTGTTCTTGGGGTCATAGGCAGCATTCCTCCTCCTCCAAACACGGCGAGTTGAGTTGATGCCAAAGAGCTCGATTTTGGTCTCATCTGACCACAACACTTTCACCCAGTTCTCCTCTGAATCATTCAGATGTTCATTGGCAAACTTCAGACGGGCCTGTATATGTGCTTTCTTGAGCAGGGGGACCTTGCGGGCGCTGCAGGATTTCAGTCCTTCACGGCGTAGTGTGTTACCAATTGTTTTCTGTGACTATGGTCCCAGCTGCCTTGAGATCATTGACAAGATCCTCCCATGTAGTTCTGGGCTGATTCCTCACCGTTCTCATGATCATTGCAACTCCACAAGGTGAGATCTTGCATGGAGCCCCAGGTCAAGGGAGATTGACAGTTCTTTTGTTTCTTCCATTTGCGAATAATCGCACCAACTGTTGTCACCTTCTCACCAAGCTGCTTGGCGATGGTCTTGTAGCCCATTCCAGCCTTGTGTAGGTCTACAATCTTGTCCCTGACATCCTTGGAGAGCTCTTTGGTCTTGGCCATGGTGGAGAGTTTGGAATCTGATTGATTGATTGCTTCTGTGGACAGGTGTCTTTTATACAGTTAACAAGCTGAGATTAGGAGCACTCCCTTTAAGAGTGTGCTCCTAATCTCAGCAAGTTACCTGTATAACAGACTCCTGGGAGCCAGAAATCTTTCTGATTGAGAGGGGGTCAAATACTTATTTCCCTCATTAAAATGCAAATCAATTTATAAAATTTTTGCCATGTGTTTTTCTGTATTCTTTTGTTGTTATTCTGTCTCTCAATGTTCAAATAAACCTACCATTAAAATTATAGACTGATCATGTCTTTGTCAGTGGCCAAATGTACAAAATCAGCAGGGGATCAGATACTTTTTTCCCTCACTGTACTTGGATGTGTAGTGTCCATAAAAAATAAATAAATAGTGTCAGCTCAATTTCCTCCAGCACTAGTAGTTTCATCCTCTCTTGTAGGACAGCGGTCTGTGAATTGCTGTGTGCTAGTGAATGGTGGCTGCCATGGCCACTTCCAAAGGGGTATCCAACAGTCGAACTCTCACTCTGTCTAGAGTGCCTTGCCGATTTCCCATGACTTAAGGGGAGCTGGTCGACCTGTGCTATGGGAGTTACCTCTTCCATGGGTTCTTCCGGTAGACCACTCTCCCGTTCCAAAGCAGTTTCCGGTCCTTGCCTCGGACGGGATGGTTGATGGCTGAAACGTACAGTTGATCCATTGCTGCTTTGAGCCCTAGTGGGCTTGCCCTTTGGTGGGGGGAAACTCCACCACATAATCCTTAAGATAACCAGGTGTGGTTGTCTGCTCGTTTGTTGCCTGGTTCTCCTGGTGCTGCTGGCGGTTGAGGATGAAGCCTTCTTTGGTGTTTTAGGCTTAGCTCCTTGATCTTTTATTTGTTCCAGGACTTTTCCCCCCATCTTTAGCCTCAGCTGCTATTTCTTCATCTCTCTTTCCTTCATCTCTCCTTCCTTCCAGTGGAGACAATTCTTCCTTCTCCACCATTTCCTTTTCACCTGTCTTTGGTTCAGTCATCATTCGGCTCGAAGGACCGTTGAAAGATTATTGGAAACTGTGTGGGTAGCTGGACAGGTAGGATGACTGACAATGGTGAAGGTGAACAGGTGGTCACGGGTCAGCTGACTGAGAGGAATGGAGGAGACTGAGGCAGGAATTCCTTTAACCACAAAGTGGTATGTTTACTGGGTAGATTGTCTGTGCTGCATAACAAAGGAAACAGAATAACATGTATCCAATCAATTCATAATCACAAATGTCACATTATTAACATGAGGTTATTCAGTTCAATAGGAATTCAATATGAAGCATGATTGAGTCATTTAGGATCATAACCATTTATCATAATCATGAGAATGATAATGCAAATAAATCGATCTGTTATCAATTATTCAATCTATAATCTCTGTTTAATATCAGGATTTAGCAAATAATAATTACGTTTCATATTTCATCCTTCCAGGATTGTCTTCATATGTACATGTCATTTAGTTACATTTTAACCAGATATCAATGGCATAATTGGCCGGTGATGATCTGGAGGGCCGTGATCATTGTCCATTGACATAACACAATAGGGTTGAAGCGTGCGCTCCAAGCTGCGCTCTGCGGTAATAACTATAAACAATAACTGATGGCCCGCTCTCCCGATCACAACAGATAGTTCAGATGAAAGATAACAGTTTCGGTGGACTTACGTTGATTCGTGATTTCCTCCTTTTAATGAGTTGAGAGTTAAAGTGCTCTGGCCCAGCTGCGCAAGTGGCTATGAATTAAATGGCGATTCCACCAACTCCATGGGCCTTTTCTACATAGATATGCTCATGTTAGTGCATGGTAAGCTGCACACAGTGGACTACCTACTAGGGCACACAGCCTCAGTGCTAACAGCATACATCTGGTTCATAGGTACATGATTGCTGCATACAATAACTGTAGGATCAGTAGAGGCATTCAGGGCAGTTAGAGGGACATAAATTAGGTTACTTACATTGTCTACCAATGCCCCTGGTATAATGTACATTTGCTAAAGCATTATGATGACTCAGCGACCCAATGGTAGGGATTAACTGCGCTGGGCTTGGGTCATTGATAAGTCATTGTCTCAACGCAGCCTTATAATGCTGTGAAAGGATACAGGAACCCAAATGATTTTGTTGGATCCCATCCTCCTTATAAAACGTGTTTTGTTTCCAAAAGGTATTGAAATTGTCAACAGAAGTTACATCCATTGAGCTGCAATAATCACATAGCCAGTTGTGAAGAGAAAGAATCCTGCTAAAGCGTTCAATACCACGATTCAGAGAGGGCACAGTGCCAGATTTGATGGGTCTTTTATTAGTGTCTAGCAGAGAGTCAATCAGTTCTTTTTAAATCGAGTTTCAACTGTTCAGAACTGCCCTTCATAATGTCATTAAAACCCACATGGACTATGATAGAATCAATATCCATGTATTGGCGTAGTACATTTGGGAGCAGCTTAGTAATGTAATTTACTCGAGCTCTGGGATAGGACATTGTTTTTGCACCACGAACAGTCACATTTCTTACCATGGAGCTGCCCAAAATGACGGCTGGCGAGAAGGACGAGGAAATACTCCCACGCTTCACAGGATGGTCCAGGCCCCCGCTTGATCCAGAGCAGTGACGGAAGGTTGCCGACGTCGACTTCAAGGGGAAGGAGGAGGAGTAGGCACATCGACCGCAGACACAGGTACCCCCAGCGACAAAGGTGCAGGAAGATCAGGCTCCAGGGTGGAAAAAGGCACCTAAAGACTGACCATGAGAAACAAGATTCTCTGATCTGATTAAAACAAGATTGAACTCTTTGGCCTGAATACCAAGCGTCATGACTGGAGGAAACCTGGCACCATGCCTACGGTGAAGCATGGTGGTGGCGGCAGCATCATGCTGTGGGGATGTTTTCAGCGGCAGGGACTGAGAGACTAGTCAGGATCGAGGGAAAGATTAACGGAGCAAAGTACAGAGATCCTTGATGAAAACCTGCTCCAAAGCACTCAGGACCTCAGACTGGGGCGAAGGTTCCCCTTCCAACAGGACAACGACCCTAAGCACACAGACAAGACAACGCAGGAGTGGCTTCGGGGCAAGTCTCTGAATGTCCTTGAGTGGCCCAGCCAGAGCCCAGACTTAAACCCGCTCGAACATTTCTGGAGAGACCTGAAAGTAGCTGTGCAGCGATGCTCCCCATCCAACCTGACAGAGCTTGAGATGCTCTGCAGAGAAGAATGGGAGAAACTCCCCATATACAGGTGTGCCAAGCTTGTAGCGTCATACCCAAGAAGGTGCTTCAACAAAGTAAAGTGTCTGAAATAAATACAGTACCAGTCAAAAGTTTGGACACACCTACTCATTCATGGGTTTTTCTTTATTTTAACTATTTTCTACATTGTAGATTAATAGTGAAGACATCAAAACTATGAAATAACACACATGGAATTATGTAGTAACCAAAAAAGTGTTAAACAAATTAAAATGTATTTTTGATTCTTCAAAGTAGGCTCCCTTATTCATCTTCTGTATACCACCCCTACCTTTTCACAACACAACTGATTGGCTCAAACACATTAAGAAGGAAAGAAATTCCACAAATTAACTTTTAAGAAGGCACACCTGTTAATTGAAATGCCTTCCAGGTGACTACCTCATGAAGCTGGTTGAGAGAATGCCAAGAGTGTGCAAAGCTGTCATCAAGGCAAAGGGTGGCTTTTTTTTTTTAACTTTTTTGGTTACTACATGATTCCATATGTGTTATTTCATAGTTTTGATGTCTTCACTATTATTCTACAATGTAGAAAATAGTAAAAAAGAAAGAAAAGCCCTGGAATGAGTAGGTGTGTCCAAACTTTTGACTGGTACTGTAAGTAAATGTGATATTTCAGATTTGTATTTGTAATACATTTGCTAAAATTTCTAAACCTGTTTTTGCTTTGTCATTATGGGGTATTGTGTGTAGATTGATAAAAAACAAAACACATTTTAATCAATTTTAGAATAAGGCTGTAACGTAACAAAAATGTGGAAACAGTCAAGGTGTCTGAATACTTTCCGAATGCACTGTATAGTGTACAAACATGATGATACAAATCAGACATTTACCATACAGGCTACTCAACAGTTCTGAAAAGAAAGTGTCTTGGTCAGAATGAACACACGGTGGAAAGCAGAAGGATTTGTCGTGTCTAGCGCATTTGTTAATTTCAAACTGAATTCAATTTAACAAACCGTTCTGTCCTCCTCTTTTATCTTTCCTCAGCAATATTTTGTCCTGCTAATCATCACCGATGGCGAGATCACGGACCTGGACCAGACCCGGGACGCCATCGTCAAGGCCTCACGGCTGCCCATGTCCATCATCATCATCGGGGTGGGCGAAGCAGACTTCAAGGCCATGGAGCTGCTAGATGGAGACGACGGTGTACTCAAGTCCCTGAGTGGCGAGCCCGTGGCCAGGGATATTGTGCAGTTTGTGCCCCTCAGACAGTTTGCTAATGTATGTTTATTTTAATCTGCGATTGTGTCATTGTGAAGTGTGTTGTCAGTACCAGTACCGCACCATTTTGGCGAGGAATTGAGAAGATTCACGAGTGTACATCAGTTTAGTCTGTAATTGTATCAGTGGGTAGTGTAGCACCATTCCGTAACACTTTGGCGAGATATTTACAGATTTTACACACTTTTCTATCTTGAGTTTGTTTGTGTGTTTTGTTGCCCTGCTGTTGGAGCTCTTCCCTTCTCACTGTCCTTCCGCCCTCTGCAGGCCCCTAAGGAAGCCCTCGCCCAAAGTGTCTTGGCTGAAGTGCCCAATCAACTTGTGTCCTACTTCAAGATGCTGAAACTGGATCCAGTCAACGTTCCTGCCCTCAAAGCTTAGTGGCGCAAGCAGAACTACAGCACTTTGTAATCCTAGCCACATGAGGGAGCCAGCACACCACACAGGGTTATGAGTATGCCCACTATCAGATGTGAAAATCCTATAATTATTTCACACTGTCAACGCTCTTTGTGCCTTTTGATCAACTTATGACAATTATGACCATTTAATTTTTTCTTTCTACAGTCATAGATATTCCTCATTCTTTGCTGCTTCAGATATTCTTCTTTCATTCCTCTGACAAGGAGTTCAAGAAGTGGTTGTTACAAAATAGTGGAAAAGATACTTCACTGTATTTAATCCTTATTTTCAATTCAATTAAGCTTTCCTCTGTTATCGAGGTTAGGCAGGGTGATTCTACATTATCAGTGCAATCACATTCATTTTCTAATTGTGTTTATTACATCTTGGTTTTCTGAAGCTGATAACCATTATCACTCCATCACTCGGTATTCCACCACTCAAACTTGAATACTTGTGCATGGCCTTTTGCACTGCTTACTAATCTTTTATGCAATGGAGTATTTAATGATAGTGTATGTCACATTATGAGAGCTGATATTACACACCACCTTGCACTTAATATGCTTGGAAAGTATATACGTCACAAATGCCAAAATGTAAACATTACTGGAGACAGTCGTTTTTGGAGGCAGAGACGCTACAGTATAGATAGCAATATAGCTAACTAATTCTAAATCAATCTATAAAACTCTAGCTAGTTAACTAACTTTGCTAACTGTGAAACAAAACTGATATTGTGGCTCTAGTAATGTTCACATTTTGATGTTTGTGGTGTATCCACTTTAGAATGGTTTTCTCATGCTGGAGATTAGTTAGAATATTATGCTAAATCATTTTTATCTGCTGCAATAGAATGTATGCTATGGATTGCTAAAGTTTTGTACCAAAGAGAAATAAGACTTGCCTTTAATTAGAGTAGTGCTGTAGAACTTCTCATGAATTGTTTACCACCCCCATTGAAAACCATGTAATTATTAGGAAATTGCTATTGATCCAGATGTTTTAGATGCTTTCTCCTATTCTATTTCCTCCCTAAAACAATGGAAACTAAAATGATAGATTTGAGAATGGTATATGTAATGTATGATGGTATGTATATGTTTTATATGTATTTACATTATAGGGTCGTCCCACATGAATTAAATCAAAAAGTGCCAATGTTGATGAAAACAAAACTTTGCGTACATATTTTCCCATGGTAGAAATTGTCAGAATATGAATATTGGACCTGAATGACCAATCGTTCAAGAGATACAGGTCCACAAAGTTGGCCCATTTTGCAAATTTTTTGACCCCCCTCCCCCCCACACACTTCATGAGACATCCATATCTTGGTCATTGATTAAGACAAAATGTTGATTTTTATGTAATTTGAAAGCATACGAACAGGGTTGTCATTTTTCCGTTATTGTTTTTTTATACCGTTGTAGTCAATTAACAACAAAAATGTAAATACATTTTTTTTTTCTTGTGATGTAGTTTATACCCTATTTCACATCAAATGAGGTGTTTGTGTTATGCCCACCATTGGTTGAGACGCAGGATACTCTTAAATACAGTACAATATTAAAATGTTTAAATGTCAACTTTCAAATGGTACCATAAAGATGGTTGCATATCCACCCATCAGAGAATGTTGAATAGAACGTGAATATCCATTGTTTTAAATAATATTGTAAATCTTCTATAGCAGGGATATTCAACTCATACCCTACGAGGTCCGGAGCCTGCTGGTTTTCTGTTCTATTAATTGCACACACCTGGTGTCCCAGGTCTAAATCAATCCCTGATTAGAACAATGAAAAAATGCAACTGGCTTCGAGGTCCAGAGTTGAAATATAGATGATCGAATAGACCCCTCAAACTCAACTCTGACCTGGGACACCAGGTGTATGCAGTAAATTATCAGGTAGAACAGAAAACCAGCAGGCTCGTGACCTCGTAGGGTATGAGTTGAGGACCGCAGGAATAGACAGTGCCATTCAAGTTGACATTCAACGGTGGGAGGAACGGCAGCCGTCTTTGTGGTAGTAGTTGGACGTTAAAATGTCAATTCAATTTCAATGGTGTACCAGCTAAATTGCAGTGGTCTGAAGGGATAGGTCCAATCTATGAATTATATTTATCTGGTTAAAATTACACCCTCCCTGTATTCAAGAGTGTGCTGTGTCACAACTGATGGTGGGGACAACACTAACGCCACAGCTTTTGTGAAATAGGGTCTTGGCTGCAATATTATGTGAAAATTAAAAACTCTTGAGTTGGCGAGTTTTTAGATAATTGACAATAATTATTGATAATTGATTATTGACAATATAAGATAAAAGATTATAAAATACTTTTTTTTATTTCTAGAAATTATAAAACAACATACTCAGACAGTGAGACGACCTAATGACGGCTGTTTTCAAAGGGGTATATGTATTATCTAAATGTGGTCTGCAATTATAATTAAGACAAATGTTCTATTTTATTTTTATTTTATCAAATATACCATTTACGAAAATGAGTGTGTTCTCTGTATGCCATGTATCTGGTTTGCTTTAGTAATGTGCTTTTGAGGCCAAAGAAGTGGATTTGGGTGTAATCTACACATTTGAACATTAAATTTTTTGTTCTTGCCCCACATTGTTTGGGTTACACATAGGGCCATGGGATTGATTTTGTGTTTGTTATACAGCGAGACGGTGATGGCAGCATATGTACCATTTAGATTAGAAAAAACACACTTTCTAACTTGTAATGCCAAATCAGTGCTGCTATGAATATGCTAAACTTGTTGGGACCACAAATGTATACATTCAATTGTTTTTTTAGTTTACAGGGGGGGGGAAATATTTAGAAAGGTACATCGTTTGTTGGTGTCAACAGTGTTATCTTAATATTCAAATGAGATTTTATTAAACTAAATTTAAAGAGCCAACTCAAATTATATTACAAAAATATATACATCATTGTAATTGTAGCCAAGAGACCATACCTTTTGTCTAAGCCTAACCATACCAACATTCAGCCAATTATATTTAGAATGCTTTCCTATCAGCCTTTCTGAAATATAGCTTTTTGCAAAATGTTTTTTGCATAATGATATTAAAATAAATACATATATCAAAATGATTTGCCTGGTTTCCTTTGCTTTCATTTTTTTGTCATTAGTTGCAATGCTGTAGGTAGGACTGGTCTTACTATTTATGAACTCAAAACTCCATAGTCGTAACTATCAGTTTTGTTGTTGAAAAGACCAATGTCTCTACACCAGCTTGTCTAGAAATAGCATATGAACGTAAACATGAGCAACTTATTCCAAAAACATGATTTGGAATCCAGTTGACAATTTCTCTGAATTACTATCTAAGTATGGTAAATCTGAACTATTAATTATGGGTGATTTTTATATTGATTGGAGGAGGCCTGTGTCAGATACGCTGAAAGATATTTATTCCATCGAAATCTACCTTGATTGAACGTATTCTGATGAATACTCCAGATAAATATGTTGCTAGTGGGATTTCCCCACTGGAAAAAACAGTTGTGTCTGTCAGAGATGTGAGAATGCATAAATCTAAGCCATGTGTCATCACTAAGAGGAACTTTAAAAACTTTAGTGAACAAGCCTTTTTACATTATCTTTATTTAGTAACCTTGATTATATGTCAGCTATCCCTGAACCTGATTTAGCTTTAAGCTTTTTTTTAAATGTATTCAACACATTGTAGATAACCATGCCCCCTTCAAAACTCTGAGAGTTAAAGTAGATTGAATGCCTGGTCACTCCTGAATTATCTGAAGTCATTCGTAAGAGAAATGCTGCCTGGGCTAAGGCCAGGAACACAGGCAATCTTTTAGGCAACTGAGGAATCAATGTATAAGACTAATTAGAAAAGCTGATTATTATGTAAGCATTCTTTCTGATTGTAAGGGGAATCCGGCTAAATTCTGGAAAACTGTCAAATCTCTGAAGGATTGTGCTTCCTCCTCTCTGCCCCAACAAATGCATTCAGACTCTGGCCCCATTACGGACAAAAATGCCATCATTGATGCATTTAATCATAGTTTTATTTTTTGAAAGCGCGTCTATCCCTACTATCTGGGCTCAATGCTGATTAGGAATTTTGCAGATTGACTCGGAAAATGGTAGTGAAGTTTTAGCATTTTGGCAATTCACAGAAAGTTGCCCAAGAAATCCACAGGGGCTGACCAATTGGAGCCAGGTATGCTCAAGTGTGCTGCCTCATTGCTGGCTCATTAATCCATATCTTAAATCTAACCTTGTTATCGGGAAATATTCTTAAAGCATGGAAAACAGCATATGTACTGCCACTCCAAGGGCGGGGATAGTAGTGATCTTGATAATTATCATCCCATCTCATGTCTAGCTAAGATTCTCTAATCTTTGGTAAATAAGCAATAAGCTCTTTTTTTATCTGAGCATGGTATTTTGAATATAAATACATCTGGGTTTAGGCCAGGGCACAGCACTCACAGCAAACACATTAGTTGTTAATTATATTGTTAATGCTTTAGACCAGGGTTCTTCAATTCCAGTCCTGGAGGGCCGAAAAACTTCTGTTTTTTATTTCTACCTGGTAGTTAATTGCACTCACCTGGTGTCCCAGGTCTGAATTAGCCCCTGATTAGAAGGAGATGATGAAAAACAGAGGTGCTTCGGCCCTCCAGGACCGGAATTGAAGAACACTGCTTTGTGCTGCCTTGTTTTTGGACCTGTCGAAAGCATTTGATACTGTTGGACAAGTTGTCCTCGATTGGCCTGGGCTCTGACGCCTGCTCATGGTTTCATGATTATCTTAGTGACAGAACTCAGGCCATCGTGATTGATGAGGTTAAGTCCGAATTTCTTGAAGTACATAAAGGTGTTCTGCAGGGGTCAATACTAGGACCTGTTCTTTTCACCATTTATATAAATGTTGTTGATCAATATGTAAAAATGTGTACATTTCATCTATATGCAGATGATA